CATTTTGCCGATCCATTCATCAGCTGGTGAATATTTGGCTTGTTTCTACTTTTTGGCTATTATGAATCATGCTGCTACAATCATTTGTGTACAAGTTTTTGAGTGGACATATGTTTTCGTTCTCTTGGGTAGATACCAGGGGGTGGAATTGCTGGGTTATATGGTCACTCTATGTTTACCCTTTTGAGGACCCGCCAGATGGTTTTCCACGACAGCTGTACCGGTTTACACGCCCCTAACGCAGCTCCCTGTCTCCCACCTAGGAGCTGAGAATCCTGGTGGACTACGACGAGAAAGGCTACCTCTTGCAGATCTTCACCAAGCCCATGCAGGACCGGCCCACGCTCTTCCTGGAAGTCATCCAGCGCCACAACCACCAGGTAGGTGCCGCCTGTCCCCAGCAAGCCGAGGAGCACGCAGGGTAGCCTGGTTACCTCTCTAGACCCGCAACTCGCCTCCTCTCTCCTGCTGCAGGGATTTGGAGCCGGCAACTTCAACGCACTGTTCAAGGCTTTCGAGGAGGAGCAGAACTTGCGGGGCAACCTCACAGACATGGAGCCCAATGGGGTGCTGCGCGGCATGTAGGCCGCGCGAGTCCCGCGCAACCGGCCGAGGCCCCGCCCAGGCCCCGCCCACCTGAGGCGCACGGCGGGCCACGCCCCTAGCCCTGGAACACGTCCGTCCTAAGGCTCTGAACAGCAAGCCCTTCTCACTGGCCATTCCCTTTAGACCCCGCCCACCAGCCCGTCTGGGGCCCCAAGGTTCCGCCCACCTCCTGACCACGCCCTCGTCTGCGGTCCTTCGGAATAAAGCGGCCCAGGATCCAACGCGGTATCTTGGTATCTGTGCGGGGCTGGAGCAGTGACGCCGTTTGGCCGCCAGGGGGCGGCAGCGCTGCAGGAGGCGTTCGCGTTAGGGGTTCCGAGCACCGCGGGAACGGAGGAGCCCGGTGCAAGCGCTTTGCTAATAGGACCGCGCGAGTCGGGGAATTCTGGAACTAAGGGGGAGCAGAGGGCGGAAAGACCGTATCATTTCGTGGGGTGGTAAATGCTATTAAGAAAATAAAGCAGGTGATGAGATTGTGTGGAGGTGAAGCTGGGAGGGGGGACTCATTTACATCGAGGGAAGGCCCCTCTGGGGAGGTGACATTTGGGCGCCAGCGTGGGAAAATCTGGGAAAAGAGATCCCAGGCAGAGGGAACAGCAAGAGTAGAGGCCTGAAGGTGGGACCGTGCTTGGCAGCATCCTCTCTGCTGGCTTTATGGTCTCTAAAAGTGAGCCATCCCCAACTTTGCTGCCCTGAGCCCAAACTTCTGGACATAGAAAAGGGGGGTGCTAGCGAAGGGACTTTGGGGACGCGTCCTTGCTCTGCAACCATGGGATACAGTTTCCGGTCTGAGAGGAAGGGCACATAGGAGGGATCTGAGCCCCCAGCACAGCAGTCACCAAGTGCCCCCTGCTCTCAGTGCAGCTCCGGTCCCCACGGCCTTGCTAGTTCATACTCAAGTGTGAATGACCCATGCAAAAGAATGACACTGTTGGGAAAGGAGCTACTAGTCTTAAAATTCTTGGAAGAAAATATTTCTCCCAAAAACCAGACAAGAGGAAGTGGGGGCAAACTGGGCTGCTTTCTTGATTCTGATGTTTAACAGCCCTCCCTTAGGATGACTCAGCTCAGAATTGGGAACAGGTGGATCTCAGTGCAAGGGGAGAAAATCCAAGTTGTTACAATGGGAGAATTGGGGGATTTCTTTTTAAACAGAAGATAGGGCTTCTGGGACTATGAACTTCAGAAATGAAAAGAACATCAGCAAGAACCCAGAGAACAACCAAGGGCAGGTTCCAGGACCTGGCTGGGCTGCTGGTTAAAAATACCCTCCCTCACCCTGGCCAGTTTGCTCAGCGGTTAGTGTCAGCCTGTAGACCAAAGGGTCAAGGGTTTGATTCCCGGTCAGGGGCACATAAGTGGGTTGCAGGTGTCTCTCACATCTCTCTCGCTCTCTCTCCCGCTCTCTTTTTCTCTCTCCCTTCCTTCCATTCTATCTAAAAATCAATGGAAAAATATCCTCAGGTGAGGATTAACAACAACAAACATAACCTCTCTTGTTTCCCCATGGCTTATGCAAAAAAGGGAAATTCTATAACCCGGGAAGTTGTAAACTGGTGGCCCATAGGCCAAATCTGTTTCCCAGATGTATTTTGTCTGCACGGATTTAAACAAATTTGAGTCAACATTTCAGAAAGTTGGGGTATTTCACACACAAATCCTAGGGTTGTGGTTCTTGGAGCCACCGGGCAATTCTGGGCTTTTCCTCCCTATGCAGCAACACTCAGCTGGTGCCAAGTGGTTGGTGCTTATTTAGATGGGGCCTGGGCAGAGCAGACCCACATTAGCTGAGCGCAGACTGGGGAGCCAGATGGCCTAGGTTCTCACCTACATCAGTCACTTGCTTGCTGTGTGACCTTGGGCAAGCTACTCGACCTCTCAGTGCCTTAGTTTTCCTCATCTGTTCAGTGGGGTGAAATAATACCTGCCTCCTGACTCCTGCAAGTTTTGTAGTTCTCGTTTTTAAAATTTTTTTCTTTATTGATTTTAGAGAGAGGGAGGGAGAGATAGAAACAGCGATGAGAGAGAACATCGACTGGCCACCTCTTGCATGCCCCCGACTGGGGATTGGGCCCACAGCCTGGGCAAGTGCCCTGACCTGGAATCGAACCAGCGACCTCTTGGTGCATGGGACAACACTCAACCACTGAGCCACACCGGCCAGGCTTTTTTTTAAGCACTGCTGCAAGTTTAATATCAAAGATATTTAAAACTGGCTGGCACAGGGTGGGCGTTGTGTTTGCTATTTTGGAGAGGGGACTGAGTGAGGAGCTTAGCCCAAGTCTACCTGGCACCTCCCCTCCCCATCCCAACCTGGTCTGCCCTGTGCATGCACCTGTCTTGATGGGACTCCCTCTTTGGTCCTCACACAGAACCAGTGAGCAAAGGACTTATCCTGTGGGACTGAGAGGCAAAGGAAGGGGTGGGGGATTTGAATAGGGGAGGAGAACCACCGGACTTGGTAGCCTAGGAGAAAAAGCCCAGGACTTGCCGGTTTTGAGCTCAGGTCACCAGCGGCTGTGGGTGGGTGGGGCGCAGGTTGGAGAGGGAGGTGTTCCCTGGATGCCCTGGGTTGTACTCATGCTAGCCTGCAAGGCCCTACAGCATCTGCCCCCCCACCCCCACTTTTCAGACCGTATTTCCTCCCTGGCAGGGCAGCCTCACAGGTCTCCTTGCTGGTCTTGCCTCGGGGCCTTGGCACTGACTGTTCTCTCTGCCTGGAATGCCCTTCCCTTCCCGCAAGCTGTCCACAGTGAGATAATGGACCCTTGCTCTGGTCGGGTAGCTCGGTTGGTTGGAGCGCTGTCCTGATACACCAAGGTTGTGAGTTCAATCCCCAGTCAGAGCACATACAACACCAACCAATGAATGCATAAATAAATAGAACAAATCGATGTTTCTCTCCCTCTCCCCCTTTTTTGCTCTCTAAAGCCAATTTAAAAAATATCTCTGTGGCCCCTGAGCCACCCCACCACTGGGTCAGGCAGAGTTGAGACCTACCTGGAATACCACGAACACTACACACATTTCCTTCTTCTCAACCTATTTTATCAGCCCCTTCCCTCCTCACATGCACAGAAGAGCACTGTCCCCTTAGATGTTCAACATGTTTGAGTTCTAGTGATGGAGATGGGATATTGGATCTAGTTTCCTTAACTGGGCTATTAGCAGTATTAGCTACCTAAGGTTTTTGCTTTGTTTTGAATATATTTTTATTGACTTTTAGAGCGGAAGGGAGAGGGAGAGAGGATAGAAACACTGATTGGCTGCCTCCTGCATGCCCCCCACTGGGGAATGGGCCCACAACCTGGGCATGTGCCCTGGCCAGGAATCAAACTGGGACATCTTGGTGCATGGGTCAATGATGCTCAACCACTGAGCCATACCAGGCGGGCAGATACCTAAGGTTTTAAAAAAGGTTCTGGAAGGAAAACTTTAAAAAGCTGTGACTCAAGGTTTAAGATCTGCTGGTCAGAGTGGACCACATCCCATCCATCTCCTGCCACCCCCAGCACAGCCAGCCTCCCTCCAAGGGAGCAAGCAGGGTGTGCCCCCAACAGAAAGAAAGGAGGGAGAGGGAGAGGAGAGCAAGAGAGATGGCGTGTCTGTAAGAAAAGTCAGTATATTTATGGTTTGCTTTATAAAAGTTACTATAATACAATGGTACATAGTATTGAATTCACAAAAATATGAACAAATATTTACAGCAAGACACACCCACAACGGAAACATTTCTCTTCAAAACAAGTTCCATAAGGATGAGAGAGCCTATATGCACAAACATCCCTAAAATTGATGGGTTCTCTTCTCGGCGGAAGGAGGGACACGGGAGGGAGGAACAAGGGTAAAAAAAAGCAGAAACCCCCTGCTCTTCCAAAGCAGACTGGGTCAATGAAAATAAAGGTATTGAAAGAAAAACGAGCCCACACATTTCTGGATATGGCAACCCGTCTCAGGGTGGGGCGGGGTTCCTGGGGCCGGGGAGGGCAAGGTGGGCCGGGGTGAGGGCTGAGGCTGGCCCCGACTCTGGTTTCCCCACACCCCCCCTCCGCTTCGTTGTGGGGGGGCAGAACAAAGACAGCCCCTTGGGGGCTGTACAAGGAACTTAAATCAGCTGTCTCTACAAACTACACATTTCCTCATGTGAAAAATAAATATTTCCTCGGTTGCACAATTAGGCAGAAAACCGCAAACGGGAGAGAAGGTCGCCGCTATGCCCAGGTCCCCCCTGTGTCTTAATGCCACGATTTCATCAGCCTTGAAATGGCAGGCACAGTCTCAAACAGAGAGGGCGCAGGGAGGAGAAATTAAGAAAGAAAGAAAGAAAGAAAGAAGAAAAAAAAAAAACACACACAACAAAACCACCAACGACAAAAGAGAGAGAGAGAGAGAGAGAGAGAGAGAGAGAGAAATAACAATTCTTTGTACAGAATTTACATGATAACAAGCTTGACACAAGCTGAGATAGCAGAGGCCGGGCCTGGCCGCAGGGGGGCAGCCAGCCCCCCGGGAGCTCTCCCATCCGGGTGAGGACGAGTCCTGGTCACGACAGTCACTTTCCATAAATTATGTACACGCCTGTCCTGCGTTCTGGGCGCGGGGGATCTGTGTGTGGTTCTTTCGGAAGTACAAAGAAATGAGCAGAAAAGTCTTCCCACATGTTTCCACAAGAAACAATGTTCCCGAGAAAAAGTCCTTTATGGCAGCCTATATACAGAAGTTGGTTCTGAACTTCAAAAACTGACCCCCCCCTTCGATTTGATTTTTATACACGCACAAGAAAAAATAATCCATGGACGTAAACCCTGAAGAGGATGATGGGAAAGGGGGTACAAAGGGTTAAAAAAAGAAAGAAAAGAAAACCTGTTAGGTTTAAAATCGTTTACAAGATTTTCCTTTCTCTTGGAGAAATAATCTCCCTCCGAAAATAAATATGCTCTTGACATCCTGGGTAAGGGGTTGCTGGCAGGGTGAATCGGGGTGCGGGCTGGGGGTGAGCAGGTGAAGCTTACAAACGAAAAATCCCACACGCATACACGGCCAGACACCCGTAATGGCGAGCCGGGGCCCCCCTGCCCGGGAGGCCCTCTCACCTGTGAAGGTGAGGACAGGGAAGAGCAGACAAGACCCTTCCCAGTGCCCACCTGCCCACACCGGGGCCTCCTGGAGGGGCCCTCATTGCTGGCATTTGAATGAGAAAGTAAACATTGAACCCAAGACTTGGGAGGTGGCAGGGTGCGGGGTGGCAGAGAGCCCAGAGGGGAAATCCCTGCCTGGGACCAGCTTGGTTCCGCCAGGGTCTGCGAGGGGAAACGGCGCCCCCAGACGGCCGGGGGAGGAACAGCCTGGGGTAGGGGTCTGTAGGAGGGTCTTCTCACTGAGTCCACTGGCAGAGGGGGGCCTTCCATAGTGTTCTGTGGGTAAAGCCGCCCGGCTGGGCCCCCTCCTCTCTGCAGCACCGGCCCGGGGTTCCAGAGCGTGGGCCTCTGCAGCCCCCGCTGGGGTCCCACTCTCTGGTTCTGCCTTCACATTTCAACGGTTAAAATGTCTTTTCTTATGATAAGAAAGAAAATAAAGGGAAGACAAAACAACGTAGCAGCATTCATGGAAAGAGGCTGATGATAAAGACGGGAAAGAAAAGACAGGGAGATGAGGGAGCGACAAGGAACAGAGTTCATGGTGGAGTCGGACAAAAACCCTCGAGGGAGCACTTTAAAAAACGACAAGACACAGGCTGACAGACAGAGAAGCCCTTTCCCACTGAGGGGCTGGAGCCGGGGTCCTGGGGGTAGTGTTGGGGGCGCCAGGCCCTGACATGGCCGCTGGGTAGAGGACAGCACCTGAAATGGGGGTGGGAGGTGGGGCCAGGCCCCGGGGCCACGAGGGTCCACTCCGGGAGCCCTGGCGACGGCTGACATCCTTCTGCTGGGCGCCGGGCCTAGTTGAGGGTCCCCCGGCAGTTCTCGGAGCTGCAGAGGCAGGGGATTTTGACGTCCTCGATGGGGAACTTGTAGTCATAGGTGATCTCCTCATTGACATTGATGTGCTGCTTGGAGTAGATGACAATCTTCTTCTGTGACTCCACCGTGATCACCTTGGCGTAGCAGTTAGGCTGTGGGCCAGGCGGGAGGGGAGGGTGAACTGAGGACCCGGAACCCCAACGCAGCCCTCCACCACCATGGACCCCCAACTGACCCCCATGCTCACTGCCACCTGTTCCAGGCGTCAGCTCTCCCACATGGGTGACAAAGACCCCCTGCCTCAGATATTAAATCGTAATGATGAAGATGGTGATAATAATCAATTCTTTCCCAGGGCTTCAGTGTCCATTTACACTGCAGGTGACCCCCAAATTTATAGTTGTAGCCTAGGCCTCACTTCTGCGCTCTAGAGAAGGGGTCAGCAAACTCTGGCCCCCAGCTGCCTGTCTTTACAAATAAAGTTTTATTGGCACACAGCTACGCCCATTCATTTACATTTTGTCTGGGCTCCTTCTGTTACAATGGCAGTTACACAGTTGCTAAGAGATCCTCTGATCCACAAAGCCAAAAATATTTACTAAGTACAGAAAAGGTTCGCTGGCCCAGAAACCCTACTAGTGCCTGGTGTCTGCTGCTGGCAGCTCCAGAGGCATCTCTGACAAGTAATCTCAAACCTAAGCGCTAGGGAGCGCTAGGGAGCGCTGCACCACCTGCCCAGGCGCCCAAGCCTCCACCTTCCGTGTCCCCCTCCAACAAGGCGGGATCCAGCCCACCGTCCTGCCCAGTGGGTTCTGTCTCCAGAAGCCCTTTTGATCCTGTTTACTGCTTTCCACCTGCTGCCGGCAGCCAGGCAGGCCCATCGTCCTCGCCTGGACAGCCACCGCCGCTCCGTGCTCGGAGAAAACCTATTTCTGACCCAGCAGCCAGAGAAATCTCCCCAAAGGGAGAGCACATACTTTCAGCCTGTGGTTCAGAGCCTTCCAGTGGCCTGCCCTGGCTTTAACAGAAACTCCTCAGCTCTGTCCTGCAAGGCTGCGGGACTTGGCTACCCCAGCCCTGCCAACCTCATGCTTTTACCCTACTCCATCCCTCTTGCCTCCCTTGCTGATCCTCAAACGTGTTTTTCTCTCCCTGCCCCAGGGCCTTTGAACAGAAGTTCACTTGTCCCAATCACTACCTCCCCTGGGTGATTCCCCTGTATGCCTCGGATCTCACAGGAGAATTATGGGAACGTCCCTACCAGCCCAGATAACAGTGAAGTCACACGGGAGGGCGTGTAGGGACTGAGAATTTGCTGGGTCAGCACACTCAAAAGGCCCTCATCAGGGACCCATTTGCCTCCCAACAACCTACAAGGAGGAACTGTTATCATTCCCGATTGACAGGTTAGAAAACGGAGGTGCTGAGACATGCAGTAGGTGGCTTACAGTCACTCACTGAGCAGGGACGTCAAAGCTGGGACCCCGAGTTCCGAGTACTCGCCTGGAACCCGGAGCTCCCTGTGCTTGTTTCCAGAGGGAGAGTCACCTTGTATCAGCGACACCCCCACTCCCGGCCCCAGACCCGCACTGCCCACCATGGTCGTCACAGGGGAGTATTTTGGTTTGAATAATGAAAATTAAGTTAAAAACTCAGCTCCTCAGTCACACGGACCACACATGTCAGCGCTCCCCCCAGGGCCGGTACTGCGCCCGTGGACGGCTGTCCGTGGACGGCCCACGGACACAGAGAGCTCAGCAGCAGGAGCTCCGTGAGCACCAGTGCGGAGCCCTCCTGCACCTTCGGTCTCGGCACACCCCCTGCGCGGCGGGACCGAGCTCAGAGGGACGGAGCTCAGGGGGCCGCTCCCCGCAGACGCCTCCTCCCCAGCCTCCCCGGCCACCACTCACATTGCAGCTGTGGTTAATGAAGCGCGCAAAGTTGCCGCACTTGGTGGCGTCGATGATGGTGTCGTGGTCCACCCGGAACATGTAGCTGCTCCCGATGCCCTCATCTTCGTAGCGTTTCTCCCGCATGTCGGCGATCACCTGGCCGGGAAGAGGCCTCAGTCGGGGCGGCCCGGCCCCCTCCCTGCCCCAACGCCCGGCCTGGGGCAGGGCCTACCTGGCGGATGTTCTGGCCCACGTACTCGATGACCATCTCATCGGCCGCGATGGGCTCCATGGCGAACAGGCCCCAGTCGTGAATGTGGCTCTTGCAGAACTTGAGCTTTTTCTTCCGGAACTGAAGGCAGAGGAGAGGGGTGAGGGCCGGTCTCAGGTCCCGGGCCACCCCTTCTGCCCTGACCGGGGCCCTGGCCTCACCTTGAGCTGGTTGAACTTGAGCAGGTCACTGTCACAGCTGCCAGTGAAGGAGGACAGCAGGCGGCGCTGCTCCGACCGCCGCTCCGAGCCGGCCCGGGTGGAGGCGTGCGGCTGCGCCGGGATGCTCATGCCCTGCGAGGAGGGCAGGCGACGGGTCAGGAAAGGGACACAGATGGCCAGGGCGGCTGGCCCCGCTGACCGCGGCACCCGTGTCCCCATCGTGTCCTTGGGTCCCTGTCGTCCCAACTTCCTCGCTCTGGTCTTATGTGTCCCGGTCCTGACCCTAACTGCCGCGTCTCCTTCCTGCCAGAATCTGGATGTTCTCAAGCCCCTCCCGTCTCCAAGATGACGATACATCGTCTCCAAGATGACGATACATCGTCTCCAAGATGACGATACATCGTTCCCTTCACTCTTGCCATCTTCTCCAGTCTCAGCTAGAAGATCTGGGAGTATCTCCACTTCTCCAAGGGAAGATGGTGGGTGTCTGCTTGCTCCAACCCATGTGGCCCTCACCTCCCCCCTCCAACCTCCCAAGCACTGGAAACCACAGCTCCGTCCTCAAAACCAAGTCCCTTTCTTCTCTTGTCCTCCCTTGTCCTCCAGCCCTTGGCGCTGTGACCTGCTGTTAACATCTCCATCCCCATGAGGCCTCAACTTAGGTCCCTGGCCTGGATGTCCCCCTCCCATATTTACATCATATCGAACTGCCTGCCAGGTCTCCTACCTGGATGTTCCACAAACCCCAAAACTCACGCTGTCACAAAGTGAAGGTGCCACCTTCTTTCCCACCTCAGGGTTCGGCATCCAGCTCCCCTTGTTTCTTATCCCCATTCCAACCAACAGTCCATTCAGTTTCTGAAATTCTAGTATTCCTGATATGCTTTCAAATACACCCACTTTTTTCTTTACAGCCGCCCAAGTCCAACCTGCCCACACGTCTGGAACAGAAACTGCAGCACCTGTATTACAGTCTTCCCTCTGGACCCCTGCAGTAACTCTCTACCCAGCAGCCAATGTGAGCTTTGAAAAGCATAGACTGAACTATGTCACCCTCAACATCTCTCTCAAAACCCTCCTGGGCTTGCTGTCACACACAGAATACAAGTCTAACCTCATCACCACAGCCTCCAAGGCCCTGATGACCTTGTTCTCTTTGCTGACAACTAGCCTTTCCTTTCCTTTCCCACACACCGAGTTCCTCCCTGCCTCAGGGCCTTTGAACAGGCTGTTCTCATCCTGTGGGACCTACTGGACTTAGTGCACCCCTCTCTGTCTTAACTTTTTTTTCCATTTATTTTCAGACAAAGTGGGAGGAAGGAAGGGAAGGAGAGAGGGAGAGAAACATCAATGTGAGAGAGATAACATTGATTGGTTGCCCGCAGGACCCTGACCAGTGCTGAGAATCTAACCTGCAATGGAGGTATGTGCCTTTGACCTGAATCGAACCACAACTCTTTGGTCTGTGGACCTACATTCTAACCGCTGAGCCAAACGGGCCAGGGCTGCTTTAACTTCTTATTGAAGTCTTTCTCTGCTTCTCTGTGGCCTCTCCCAGTTACCCACATGGCTTATTTCTTTCTTTCTTTTTTTTTTATCCTCACCCAAGGACATTTTTCCATTTTTTGTTCAGATAGAGTGGGAGGGAGGGAGAGAGAGAGAGAGAAACATCAACGTGAAAGGGACACATCGAGTGGCTGCCACCTGCAAGACCAACCAGGGCCAGGGACAAACTGCAACCCAGGAACGCACCCTTAGTGGGAACCGAACCCGGGTCTCTCTGGACCGCAGGCCGACGCTCTAACCACTGAGCCAAACCGGCCAGGGCAGTGGCTTGTTTCTTTACTTCCTTCAGGTCTGGCTCAAATGTCACCTTCTCTGACCGCGCCCCCCCCCCCCCGCCTGACTCGCCAATCTGTAACCTCGTCTGCTTTCTCCACAGCATTTTCTCCACTTGGCATCCTAGTTGTTCACTCGATTACTTCCTATCCCTCCATAAAACGTAAGTTCCACAAGCAAAGGGATTTTGTTTTGTTCACTGTCCTGTGGCCCCAGAACGGTGCCTGGAACACAGCAAGTGCTCAGTAGATATTTGCTTAATTTTAAAAAGGAACAAATGTGCCTCCTGGAAACGCAACTGCACTCTGCTCCCACGCGGATTAAAGCCCTGAGGCTCTCCGCTGCCCCCCTCACCTCACACCTGAGCACCAGGTAAGTGCCGCCCTCCACGTGCCAGCCCCTCTGGCCCTCCACCTGCCTGCACCCCATCCAGGAGGGCCCCCTCCCCCTGCCCAGGCCAGAAGGCTCGAGGGTGCCTGGGTCCCCGATGGCGTACCTGGGTGTCTGTGGGGGGCTCATCTGTGCTGGCGCGGGTGTTGTTGAGGTATCTGATCTTGTCCTTCTTGTCGATGGTGTAGAAGCCCTCGCTGCGGGCACAGCCTGTCACGTGCTCCGGGATGTCATCATCCCGTTTCTTTTTCTTAGCTGAAGAGAGGCTGGTGGGTGGGTGTGGGTCAAGGGCCACATGGACATTGATGGCAAGCCCCTCTCGGTCCCTCATTAGACCCATCCCACTAGCTCAGCCTCGCTGCCCGCAGACCCATCTCCAGGAGGCTACACCATCCAGAGTCACCTCCCACAACCACACCACCTGGCCCACTGCCAACTCCACTGAAGGGCCAGAACTCAGACAGGTACCGAGGTGCATGGCCACGGGTGTGCTCCATTACCCACTTTCTGCCTCAGCTTCCCCATCTGCAAAGTGGGTCAGTGACGGCGCCTCTCTGGATGAGAGCACCAGGTGGGGTGCCTGGGGAGTTCCTGACACCGGGCAATACTCAGCGAAGTCGCTTTAGTGCGAGCGGATGACAGCTCCAGCCTCAAGAGGTGGAGGTTAACAGTCACCTCCCAGGTAGCACTGTGGTTAAGAGCCGACATTCTGGAGCCAGATGAGCCTGGGTTCCAGTTTCAACTCTGCTACTTTGTAGCTACGGGACTTTGGGCAGGCTGCCTCACCTTCTGAGCCTCGGTTCCCACAAGTATGTGACGGGAATGACAGCCCCACCTCACTGGGCTGTGGGGAAGACCGAGTCAGGCGACGGCAGCCCAGGAAGAGGGGGCCCTGTCGGTTTCTGCCACTGTTATGTTGTACACCCGTGTTACTACATTTGGCCTTGAGACCTGCTAACTCTGGGGTGAGCTGGGCCCGGCACAGAGGGCGTGTTTAAAGGTGCCAGAGCTGACTCCACGTGGGCACATGGACACTGCTCCGTGGGTGACAGTGACTTGTGCTATCCCCTTCACGGGTACTATGGGAGATGAGACCCAGGGAGGGTGAGGGTTCCCGGTACTAGGCGTTGTAGCCCCCGCCCCGTCTGGCAGGATATAGGGATGGTAGACCCAGAGTGTGTCATTGAGCCAGTCCATGCCATTGTCCTGCTGCAGCAGCCGCTCGTAGGTGACACACAGGAAGCGGATGTCCTCCTCGTCGATGCCGCCGTTCCAGATGTCATACAGGATGGTCATCTCCTCAAACTCTGTCCGGGGCCGGAAGAGGGGCTGCGGTGGGGAGAGCTCGGGCGAGGCCGAGGCCACCAGGTCCTCGTGGCGCTTCTTAGGTGGCCGGCGCCAGGAACCTCGAACCTTGGCCAGGTCTATGAACTCCTCGGTGACTTCATCACGCCCGCGGGGACCCGGAGGGATGGTCTCGGAGAGCCACTGGTTCTCTAGCTCCTTAAAGGGCAGCTTGGTGGGCTCAACGGGTGGTGGGGGTGGAGGTGGGGGAGGCTGGGGAGGCAGGGGTGGAGGGGGGGCTGGGATCCCTGTGTTCCGGAAGTCCAGGGTCACAGCCCGGGGATCATGGGTGCTGGGGAAGACAGGGGTCTGTGGCTGGCCTGGCAAGAGTAGAAGGTCCCTGCCAAGGGCGGCACCCCCTGGTGGCCGGACCAAGGACCCATCCAAGGAGAGCATGGCTGGCGGGGATCGCCGGGGCCTGCCCGGCTTCCTCTTTATGGGGGGCGGGCAGGGGGCCATAGGGGCGGGTAGCAGGGGTGGCAGCTGGCCAGGGGCCCGAGCTTGGGGCCGCAGGACAGGCACAGGCAACGCCAGGGGCAGGGGCAGGGGCAAGGGCAGAGGGAGAGGCAAGCCCGTCTCCAGGAGCACCTGGGAGGGCAGAGGGCCAGACCGTTCATCGCGGCGGCCAGCTGGGAGGGGGCAGATGGGCAGGAGCAGGGGTCCTCCGGGCTCAGGGAAGGTGGGCGTGAAGCTAAAGTCCCGGCCAGGTGTCCTCGGGAGGCCCCCGCTGCTCAAGCTCGGTGACTGGGACGGGTAGGAGAAGGGGCTGCTGGGCACCTGCGGGGAGCTCAGTGACAGGCTGCTGCTGGCCCCCGACAGCGGGGTCTCCCCGCTTGGGGTGGCCGGCACTGTCTCAGTGCTCTGCGACTTGGCCAGGCTGCCACAAACGCCTGGAGTACGTGGGGGCTGGTCCTCGGGGGGAGGCTCCAGAGGGGCAGGTGGGTGCGGGGGCTCTGGGGTCTCAGACTCGGGTGGTGGGCTAGGTGGCCGCGGGGGGCGAGGGGGTGGCAACGGTGGCTGCAGGGGTAAGGAGAGCAGCACAGGAGGCTCGGGCTTCGCTTCCAGGTCCTCCCCTGCAGAGACGGGAGAAAACCAGGCCCAGAGTGGTTGATTCAAACACTTCTCAGTGCCCTGTTCCTTCTGCCCTAACGCACACTTGACACCTGACCGACGCACAGCCCTGAGGCTGCTGAGACCCTTCTGAATATAAAGACTGTCCCCGCCCCCCAAGCCTGGCGGGTGTGGCTCAGTGGATTGAGCATTGTCCCATGGACTAAGAAGAGGTCCCAGTTCAATTCCCAGTCAGGGCACATCCCAGGGTTGTGGGCTCGATCCCCAGTAGGGGGCGTGCAGGAGGCGGCCAATGGATGTTTCTCTCTCACATCGATGTTTCTATCTCCCCCTTCCTCTCTCTCTAAAAAATCAATTAAAAAGACTGTCCCCCCAGCTAAACCACCGAGGGACTGCTCAGCATCCAGCCCAGTGTCAGGTACACAGTGGGTGGCAGATACATGTTGAAGTAAATCAAAGGCGGGGAGACACGGTTGCTAGCCTTTGACACTGCATTTAGAACGGTGTTGCTGCCAACAGGGACCATGCTGTGAACCAAGGAAATGGGCTCTGCTATCGAATAAAATTCCAGAAGTCTCCTTTCTGCAGGACTTCTCAGAGCCTTTGAGGTTTTCTCCCAGCATTTATATCCACTGTCATATAATACATTTTTTTTTTTTAAATCCTCATCCGAGGGACATTTTTGCATTTTTTATTCAGATAGAGAGAGCGGGGGAGAGGAGAAGAGAGAGAGAGAAACATCGATGTGAAAGGGACACATCGAGTAGCCGCCACCCGCACGACCCAACCAGGGCCGGGGACAAACTGCAGCCAAGGTACGCGCCCTTGGCAGGAACCGAACCCGGGTCTCTGTGGACCGCAGGCTGATGCTCTAACCGCTGAGCCAAACCGGCCAGGGCCACATAATACATTTTCTAACTTATCACCTGTTATCCGTCCCTCTGCCCTAGAATATAAGCTCTATGAGGGCAAATGTTTTTGTCTGTTTGGCCCACAGTTGCATGGTTAATACCCAGAACAGTACTGGGGATGCAAGAAAGCCTTAATAAAATAGTTGTGACAATACTCAACGGCCTGTGGCTCTGTAACCAAATAACACAGAATTAAACAAAACATAACAGGTTTCTTTCCTGAAGGACTTATTAGAGGTGCAAACTAACCACATGTGGCTGAGTTTAAACTAATTACAATTAAGTATGGTTACAATGCGGTTCCACAGTGCTCCTGGCCACATTTGAGTGCTCTCGTAGCATTGTGTCCAGTGGCTACTCGGCAGGGCAGACAGCGACCCCGCCACTGCAGCAGGCTCTGCTGGCGGCCCTGGGAGAGTTTCAACGTGCTCTGTGCAGCTGGCATGACGGTGGAGGGCGCAGTGGCCACGGCCTTCACCTGGCCGGTACCCCGAAGCCTCCCCCACCTGCCTGTCACTCAAACGACCATGCACGTTTGCCCCTTTTTTGGGGAGCATCTCATAGGATTAGTGGACCAAGGACTAATCCGTGGAGAAATACTGGCACTGAGAATGGTGACAGCAACCACTGCTCTGGGGAACTAACAGGTGCCAGGCTCCATGCTGGCACACTGCACGTCCTCCCCTCCCTTCTCCCGTACGACCTCATGGGGGGCATTAGCCTTCGGTTTTCCAGATGAGGAGACTAGGCCTGGGAAGGCTAATGGATTTACCCAGCGGAGACCGGGCTCATCCAGTCTCCATCCCCACCGCCCTCCCAGGGGCCGCAGGTGTTACCTCGGGTGGGCTCCGGGGACGGCGGGGGGCAGGCCTTCGTGTCATTCGCAGGAGGCTCTGGAGACAGTGGCCTGGCCCCGTCCTGGTTCACGCCTGGCTCCTTGGGGGGCTCTTTGCAGCCGGCCAGCTCCTTCACACCCGTGGGCAGGGGGGGCTCTTCCCGCATGGGGGTCCGCTCCTCGGAGGCTTCGTCCTCAGCCTCGACGTCCACGTCCTCTTCTGTGCCCACGGACTCCATCGAGGGTGCCCTCATGGCCACCTCCTCCTCAAAGTTCTCCTCGGGAATGGCGGGAGCCACGCTCTCATCTGTTGTTGCTTCTTCCTCTTCCTCCTCCACCTCCTCCTTCTCCCCTGCCACCCGCTCTTCTTGCTCTTCTTCATCCTCCGACGATGAGGACGAGGACTCAGAGCTTGATTCAAACTCCGAAGACTCAGAACTCTCGCTGGAGGATGCGGCTTCGTCCTTGCCGGTGGGGATGCTCGCCGTCTCCTCTGGGCAGGGGACACAGGCAGGGACCTCTTGTTACCGACTGTGCCCCCACCGGACGCATCACCCGAGGGCTCAAACGGGTGACACCTGGCCTGAACACCACCCTCAGAAATATGGGGGGAACGTGTGTGTGTGTGAACTAGTCATCATTTTTTAAACTGTAAATTCCACATACCAGGAAACGAACCACTTCCAAGTAGACAATTCAGTGTATTTAATACACTTAAAATGTGTACAACCACCACCTAGTTCCAGAACGTGAGCTGTTACCCCCACCTCCCCACCCCGTTGCCCCAGGCAACCACTAGTCTGCTTTCGGGCTCTATGGATCGACCTATTCCGGATATTTCACACAAAGGGGATCTGATGGTATGTCGAGTGTGTGTTTTAATTTCAAAAGCAAGAAATTGTGCCCAGAAAGTATTGGTGACTCACACTCAGACTGTGTCCTCTGCAGAGAGACCCTGGGCCAGGCCAGAGGCCACGGCCTGCCCTGCTCACCTCCATCTGAGTCCCCTTCGTCCTTGTCACTCGCCTCCGACAGGGCTGGCAAGTCTTCGTCATCATTCTTGGACTCTTCCTGGCCATCGCTGTCGTCATTGTCATCATCCTGGGGAAGAGATGGGTGGGTGAGCCGCAGGGTCCTCCTCGTCTGCCCTGGCCCCCAGGCCTCCCCAACCCGAGTGGCACCTTGTCCGACGTGGAGGAGGTGGAGGAGGAGGAGATCTGGCTTCTGGGGACTTCATCCTCTTCCTCCCCCTCCTCTTCCTCCTCCTCCTCCTCCTCTGTGCTTTCCTGCTCCTCCTTGTCGGAGGCCGAGGACGAGGGTGAGGTCGTCGAGGAGCCCGAGGAGGAGGACGCTGACGATGACGAGGACGCCGACGACTCCTTCTCATCCTCCTCCCCGCCGCTGTCCAGCTCCAGGGGCCGAGCCGGCCGCCGCCGCACCCCCACACCCTTGGGGTCCCGCTTGGCAAGCTCGCAGGGGGCGTCTGCCATGTCTCGATCCCGCTCCCGCTCTGACTCTGTGGGGAGGGAGGGTGTCAGGGCCGGGCTGGGAGGACACGCAAAGAGGAGACCCAGAACCCGGTGGGAGAGGTGGGGGGCACACACCTTCATCTTCCTCGTCCACGGAGGTTGAGGGCCGCAGCCGCTTCTGGTCTCCGGACGAGGCTGCGTCCGGTGGCTCCTTCCTCTTGACCTTGAAGGAAGGCAGGCGGATGGCCCCGCGCAGCCCGATGCCCAGGCCCAGGCCCTCGTAGCCCAGGCCCTCGCCCTTGCTCCACGACTCCAGCAGGCAGGAGGTGATTCGGTCCTTGGGCTTCGGCCGGTCCTCGTCCTTGTGCTCACCCGACTTCACGGGGGTCAGTGAGGCCTGGGGTGCGAGGGGAAGGGACAGTCATCATGTGGCGCTGCCAGTGACTCCACCGGGCGGCCCTCCCCGAGCAGCCTGCCTTGCTCCAGTAGCGACAGCCACAGGGTGACCGGTCGGTTCCTTCCTCCATGCCCACTCGGGACACTCCCAGTGTTCTCCGCCCCTGCACCCGAATCCCCCCCGCCAAGCGGACTGCTCCGGCTACTTGCGTCAGATCGGTGGCCTTCCCACCAGGACAGTGGCATTCACACAAAACCCACTGGAGGTGCACGTCGGTGTCACTGACGCAAGTTTCACACAGTGACACTCACACCACCCTGTTCTGGGGTCTGGGTAGCGGTGTCTCGGAAGAAGAGAGGGCGCCTGGCCGGGTTCCCGCCTACCCACGACCCGGAGAGCCCGGCGCCCGGCGCCCACCTTAGCCATCCGCTCCTTCTTGTCCCACCACTCGTCAAAGGCCCGGAAGGCCACCACCTCCACCATCTTGCGGTTCAGGTCACGCTTCATGATGGCCTTAAGCTCCTTCAGCACCACCAGCAGGACACCATCCACGGTGGCCTTGTGTGGGTCCTCCTGGCGTGGCATGTAGCCCGGTGGCGGCACTGACGGGTCAAACTTGGGCAGGGGTGGCCAGGGCTGCCCACGGCCCGGGCCTGTGTTGCTCAGGGAAAAGGGGCTCCGGTAGGGGGGCAGGTTGACAAACTGCAGCCCAGCCGCAGCTGCCATGAAGGGTGGGTAGGGACAGGCGCCGTGGCCGGTCATCAGACGGCTCAGCATCTGTGTTTGCATCTGGAAGGACATGGGCATGCTGCCCCACTGGCCGCCCAGCACGTGGCTCATGTCCACCTGCATCACTGGGAAGAGCCCCGGCGGGAAGGGTGGCAGGGGCGGCAGGATGTGTGGGGGCGGGACACCGGGTGGCGCCGGCAGAGGTGGTGGGGGTACTGTCACTGCTGGGTGGGACGGGGGCGGTGGGGGCGGCGGGGGCGGCAGCGGTGGGGGCATGGGGAAGCCGGGCTGTGGCGGAGGTGGGGGCGGGGGTGGGGGCAGTGGTGGGAAGCCGGGGGGTGGGGGCAGCGGCAGGTTCGGGGCCAGCACGGAAGGGGCTCCCACAGCCGCCGCCCCTGGGGCCACCACCATGGGCTTGGGACAGTCGGCACTGGTGATGGGGGCGGAGGGCATCTCGTCATCTGAGATTTCCATGTCCTCACCAGAGGACTGCTGGCCCTGGGGAGAAAGGGGGACAGTGGTGAGCATGGGCCCGGAAGGCCAGGGCGGCTCCCAGAGCACCTTCCAGACACCAGAGAGGCGGAGGAGAGGCCTTCTGCAAAGACCACTCGCAGGGATGAGTGCTGTGGTTCCGATCCTGGTCTCCGCCCTTCCGGGCCAGTGGCCTCAGCAAGTCACTTGCCTCCTCGAGGCCTCAGTTTCCCCATTTGCATAATGGACTTCACAGTGCCTGCCTCATGCGGTTACCATGAGGACTCAGTCATTTTTCAAACATTTACTCAGCACAGTTTCAGGTGCTGGCCACATAGCAGTGAACAAGACAGACAAAATCCTTGCTCTCAGAGCTGAACTTCCAGAGGGAAGAGGCAGAAGGCAAGCAGGATGAAGGTGTGAAATATATAGTGTCCTGGAGGAAAAGAAAGCCGGGAAGGGAGACAGGGTGCGAAGAGGGAAACAGATTCTGTTTCGATGTGAGAGATTCTGTTTCAGTTTGTGTTCAGAGAGGAGAATACTAATAACGAATTCCTCTACAGCATTTCCTACGTGCCAGGCACCTTTCTAAACACTTTACGTACATCAACTCAGTTAATCCTCAGAAGAACCCTGCAGAGTAGGTCTGCTATCTCCATCTTTACTCAGGAGGAAATTGAAACACAGAGACTTTAAGTAACTTGCTCAAGGCCACACAGCCAATTAGAGACAGAGCCAATGCCCTGGCCGGTTTGGCTCAGCAGTTAGAGCATCAGCCCAAGGACCAGAGGGTCTCAGTTTCGATTCCCAATCAAGGGCATGTACCTGGGTTGCAGGTTAGGTCAGGGTCGTGCGGGAGGCAGCCAATCGATGTGTCTCACATCCATGTTTCTCTCTCTTTCTCTCTCCCTTCCACTCTATCTAAAGATCAGTGGGAAAATATCCTAGGGTGAGGATTAACAACAACAACAACAACAAAAAAGAGCCAGATGGAGCCAGGATTTGAACCAAAAGGTGGCCCCCCAACTCCCCTCCCCTTTGACAGCTGTCAGTCTGTTCTCTGTATCTATCAGCTTGTTTCTACTTTGTTTATTATTTTATTTTGTTCATTAGATCCCACATATAAGTGAAATCATATAGTACTTGTCTTTCTCTAACTGACTTATTTCACTTAGCATAATACTCTCCAGGTCCATCCATGCTGTTGCAAAAGGTAAAACTTCCTTCTTTTTTATGGCCAAGTAGTGTTCCATTGTGTAAATGTACCACAGCCTTTTTATCCACTCATCTACTGATGGGCACTTGGGCTGCTTCCAAATCTTAGCTATTGTAAATAACACTGCAATGAACATATGAGTTTCATTTCTTTTTTTCTTTTTTTCCCCTCGCCCAAGGACATTTTTGCATTTATCCTCAGACAGAGTAGGAGGGAGAGAGGGAAGAAGAGAGAGAGAGAAACATCGATGTGACAGAGACACATCGAGTGTTTGCCACTCACACGACCTCAGCCGGGGCTGGGGATGAACTGCAAGCGAGGTTACATGCTCTTGGCCGGAATCAAACCCGGGATTCTTTGGTCCGCAGGCTGATGCTCTAACCGCTGAGCCAAACTGGCCAAGGCATGAGTTTCATTTCTTAGCTGCACTGTAACCTCACAACGTGGGGCTCTACTCCAGTTCCTCTTGACAGGTGAGGAAACACTCAAGAGAATCGAAAGCCACTGGCCCGAAAGGCAGAGCCAGTGATACCTAGGGCTAGGACTCAAGCCCAGGACGCTGCCCAGTGAGGGGGCTTTGGTTGGAATCCAGGGACCTGGGACCTGGGGAACAGGCGAGTCAAGGATGCCCTAGCTCTAAAATGGGCAAGGGCCGTTTTACATGGGGATGCAGCGGGGAGTCATGGGCGTGGCATGGTGGAGGTGGAGCGAGAGGCAAGCAAGGGTAGGGAGAAAAGCGTCGAGCCACCCTCAGGCTCTTGTGTCAGGACAAGAAGCAAGCAGGTGCCCTGGATGAACTTAGCTGAGGAAGACAGAGCCTTTGTAGGTTGCAAGACTGGGGGAGCCGTTGAAGGCTGAGGGGATGGGGTCTGCGCAGGCTATAAGGTCAAAGGTCAGCCTACAGGTGAGAAGGCCTCAAAGGTAAAGGGGGGAGATACCAAAACTAAGGCAGTAAGTAGCAGGAAGCTCTGGATTTTGCTAGGTCCCCTCTATTCTCCTGCTCTCCCCCTCCCTCCCAGGGTCCCCACGCGCACGCCCAGAGAGCCACTGGCAGACTCAGCCTGGTATTCGGGGAGATCAGCCCTGGACAGCGCCCAGCAAGCTGGGCGCCGCACGCAGAGGGTTAACCCCGCCCAGTGGCCAGCCAATCACAAGGAGACTGCACGGCTCCAGCCCTCGGCCTGCCCCTCCCTCCGCCCCACGGGCGCCTGGGGGTGAGAACCGGTGGGAACTACCGGAGCGCACAGCGCCAGCCCGCGCCAGCCCGCGCCAGCCCACGCCGTGCCCCGAGCACCTCGCTTAGGCCGAGCCAGTGCGAGCCAGGTGCTCACCATCCCATTTCACTGACCAGGACACTGAGACAGAGAGAGAGAGTGCCTGCCCCCAGGCCACGTAACCAGTGAGGGGCAGAGCGGGGGCTCAGCTCTAGGCCTGGAGCCTGCAGTTTTAACCGCCAGTCTCCGTGAAGAAGGGGATCTGCCCCCTCCACCCCCAGCAGGCCCCCTGCGCTGCTCTCCAGCCGCAGCCGAACTCCGGTTCAGTTCCGAGGAGCCCGGGTGCTGCGCTCTCGGCTGCCGGCAGGGGGCTCCCGAGGGCCAGCCTGGAGGTTAGTACTCCCAAGGCTAAGGTCCTGAGGCGTCATGGACCCCCAGCTCTCTGAGCCTCAGTCACCCCTTCCCTCCAGTGACACGGGGCGGGGGAGCCCAATCCCTCTGACTATTCTGCGCTTCTCTGCCCTGGCCCAGCTGGTCAACATGGTAAACATCCCCCTAACCCCAGGCAGCAAAGAGGGAGGGAGGCAAGGAAGGATGGCGGGGCAGCAAGCCCTCCACCTCTGCACACCTGTCAACTCCTCCTAGTTGGACCCTCTGGCACCTGAAACCACTTCCCCAGAACTGCCTCGAGGCCCCCTGGAGCCCCAGCCACCTGCAGGCCCCTCCGGGGCAGGCCAAGTTCTTCTCTGTTCCTCCCTGAGGCAGCCAAACCTGCCTAATCAAAGGGCCTGGGAAGGGGGGCTCTCCTCCCCTCCGCCCACAGGGGCACTGAGCTCTCGGCCCCTGGCTGCTCATGCCCATCAGGACCACAGGTTCCAATGCAGGTCTCCAGGAGGGCCAGGGCAGAGTCAAGGAGATGACCTAATACCTGCCTCCAGGGAAATGTGGCATACAGCATCCCCCCACCCCCAATCCTGAAGCTGGAGGTTTGGGCAATGAGACCCCAGGAAAGGATCTAAGGGTGAGGAGAGGGGGGAGGGTGGGCAACTTGGTCTGCTTCTGGCTGGGGCCCTCCCCCAGGGCTAGCCCTTAACTCCTTCACTACTAGAGGCAAGGAAAGTGGGAGAAGGGGAATTTCAATGCCCTCCCTGCCTGCCCCCCATGGTTTCAGAAGGCACCAGGTTCAAGGAGACAGTGCTCTAGAGCTCCTATCTTCTCCCCAATCTTCCTGAGCCTCGGGACCCCAAGCCACCCAACAGAGAAGGGGGCCCAGAACCATCACCACAATCCATAGTCTCTGGGATCTCAGCAAACTCCTATCAGAGAAGATCAAGTCAGAATTGATCCCTAGGAAAAGTCTTGACTTCCTATACCTAACAAGGAGAGCAACAGAACTAGGTCATGTTTCCCTTCTCTCCTTGGCTGCTAGAGAGCTCAGAGCCAAACCAGCGGCTCAATCACAGCCTGGTATTTTTGCATCCTCTTTTTATTCTCTAAAGATTGACCTGTTATTTTGGCTGCACTAGCCCTGTTGCTTCTCTATCTTAGGTAGTTTTCCAAGGAGATAATGTTTCAGAGGTATAAAGAGGGATACACAAGACAGATAAAACCAATCCCTGACAGAGATGGACAGACATGGTGGTACCTCATCCATCTTCTCTGAGGTTGGGGTCCTGTCTCCAGCCAGGTCCAAGGCCACCTCAGTTGTCTGGCCCAGAAGACCAGTGGGGTCTGGAGGGCCGGGCTCAGGCGGGGGCCGAGGCCCTAGCCCCAGGTCAAGCTCATCATCCTCATCCGAGTCTGGCAGTGGCGTAGGGCTGATATCCTCCAGGCCGGTGCTGGAGGGGCGTGAAGAAGGTGGTGTGGGGCCTCTAAAACCTGGCTGGGAGTTAGTGCCGAAGGGGGCCAGTGGGGAAAGCTGGGAGGAAGAGGAGGAGATGGGGCTGCCCTCCATCTGTAGCTCCGTGTCCGAGTCCTGTTCTGGAAGGAAAGGTAGCTTGGTTCGCTGCTCCTTCAGCAGCATCTCGATGCGCGAGTCCAGGCTGTCGTGGGGCTTCTCCAGCCCCGCAGGTGAGGACTCCAGCGTCGGAGTGCCTGGACTGTCACAGGGCTCGGGACTCCAGCCAAAAGTCGGCCGGCCACCCAGCTCCATGCTGTTGGCATCAGGGGGCGGTGGGCCGGGTGGCGTGCCCGGCTTCTCCTTGGTCAGGGGCTCAGTGGGCGGCGGGGGCGGGGGCGCGGGCGCTCTCCGGAACTCCCCACTGTCACGGGCGCCAAAGGCGGTTGTGGTGGTGGGCTCCTCCGGCGGTGGGGGGAAAGGAGGCACAGGGGTCTGATAGGGAGAGAAAGCCGACTTGAACGTGACTCCAGGAGCAGGGGTTGCTTGGGCAGGTGGTGGAGTGTGGGCAAACGTGGCTGAATCCTGTGGTTGGGCCTTGAATGGAGGGCCGCCACTGGCCCCACTGCTGCCGACTGCCCCAAATGGGAGGTCCACGGAGCCCCTGAAGGTGGCTGTGGCCCCTGACACCACAGTGACGGCAGAAGAGTTGTGGACATAATGATGCTCATGGCGGCGATTGTAGGCATCAGTAAACTTGCTCTCGTGGCGCCGAGCCTTGAAGGTCACCGTGGGGTCCTGGCTGAAGAGGTAGGAGGGTGTGGGCTGGCGGCTGGAGTAGCTGGAATCCTGCGAGAAGGGGGTGCCCAGGCGTGGTGTGAGCGGTGTGCCCTGTCCATAGGAGTTGGGTGTGTCCAGGCGACAGCTGGAGTAAGCAGTGTCCTGGGAGAAGGGTGTCCCACCACTATTTGGGGTGACAGAGGATGAGCCAGAGCCACAGCCTGTAGACAGACCACCATCCTTGAGGCGCTTCAGGGCATCTGACAACTAGAGAGAAGAGAGAGAGGTGTGAGATCACGGGGCATGGGGCATGCAATGGAATAGGGCTAGTTTCCCTTCTCACTCTGGCTGCTGGGAGCTCAGAGCCAAACTGGCTGCTTTAGAACTGCAACATGGTTTAGAACTGCAACATGGTAAGAGTCAGAGGGGTGGGAGATTGAAGAGAAGTGTCTGGATGGTCTTAACCTTTCTCTACTCTTGGGGTAGCCCATTATTCTCAGGGAATCTTGGTATCTTGACCAGATCCTGACATCTTGGTTGAAACCAGGATTTCCTTCCTGTCTCAGGCTGGCAGAAATCAAAGACATTCCAGGCAGGGGTAGCAGGAAAATCTACGGTCTTGGGAGTGAGGGCGTGACCTCCCGGTGTTTTAAGATTTAAATAATATGACATGGCAAACGGGCCTAATGAACAACTCAGTTGATCAGCAAGTAAACAGTCTCTCCATTCTGGAAAAGTTACTCCTGAGGGTGGCTGAGTTGATGCTGGAGAAGGGCTGGGATGAAATTCTCCCCAGGTGAGGGTGGTGTGTCCTGGGAGGCAGTTATTGGGGAAGGAGTCAGTCTTGCTCTGGACCTGAACTCTACTTTCTGGGAGCAGGGGTGCAGGGGTGCACAAGACATCAGATGTAGCAGTGTTTTAGCATCTGCATAGAAAGCGGGCTCCAGGTGGGCTCTGGGTCTGTGGGAACCTCAGCCTGTGTGGCCAGGCTCCTTTCCCTCCTATACCCTGGTATCCGAAGCTATAAATGGTGAAGTGGGGAAAGGGGGTCGCACCAGGGAGCTGGTGATGGGGCGGGGGGGGGGGGGGGAGACTGATGGTGACAAACCCACCTGCAGGGTCTCATTCACGATGGGAGAGATAGCATCCAGCTCACCCACAGGGAGGGTCTGAGGTGTGTATCGGCCTGTGACCAACAGTTCGTAAAACCGCATTCGGGTTTCCCCTGTGGAGGACAAGGGAGGGAGGATTCAGCCAGGTTCCCGGATGGGGCAGCCCCCACAGATTGGCTTCCTGGTGGGTCCCTTGTGCCTGAGACCCCAAGCCTGGGGAAGCTGTGTGACCATAATCAGGTTACCACCCCTCTTTGTACCTTTCTCGGGAGTCCTATCTGCCCAGCGAAACTGCTAATCTGGATGACTTTTCTCATCCTGAGACTCAGAATTTAATGCCTCGTGGGGCTGGGATTCCCCCAAAACAGAAATGGCACCCCCAACACAAAGCCCCTTCCTGTCACCTGGACAGCCAAAGAGAGTCAGGTTGTCCCTAACCTGTCCTTTCCCCTTTCCACTTAACAACCAGGGCCTGGTAGCAAGTGGAGAGGAGAGGTGACAATCTGTTGTTAACTATCAGGGGCCAGGTGACCAGCAGTTTATAAAACACACTCTAATACCAGGTTCCTGTGAACTCCACAGGCCTCCTCCTCTGAACAGATGCCCCAGCTCTGAGCCCTGTCTAGTAACCTTCCACCCCTCCCAGCAGAGAGAAGCCTCTATAGACCAGGGGCCCCAGATCACTGATATTTATAGAGCCCTGTGCGGCAGCTGCTTACATATGCAAAGGAGACGCATTCCTTGAGCTTCACTTTACACTTTACTGGTCTCTTTCTTGAAATACAAACTTAGCTGTCAGCCTCCGAGGGCCCCCTTCCTTCCCCTCCCCCCCTGCAGAAATAAAATTTTGGTGAGAGCTAGCTGCTCCTTAGAATGGGGAGGGGGCTCCACATTCGATTCTCAGGACTGCAGCCACACAAGGGGGATGTAGATTTGAAAGAGTCTGTATTCCCCACAGAGAGACTGAGAAACTACACCTGGGGGTGAGGGCGGCTGGGCTTAGATAGGAACCTGGACTTGTGCCCCTCGGAGACTCAGAACTAGGCATAACTCAGCATAGTTTATGGGATAACAGAGCCTGCCTGGGACCAGCCTCCACAGTCTCCAGCCAGATCTCAGAAACTCATCAATATGCATTCATTATTAAAGCCAAAAAGAAAGGTTTAGATTTTTCTGTCTTGGGTGTCATTTGCCCTGGTAACTCACAAAACCCCTGGAAGCAAAAGATCTAAAATTAATTAAATAGATAAATATAGAAACCTGGAAGCCACCCACCTAAGCCCACCCAGAGACCTCAAGGGGCTCTGGACCCAGCCACAGTGTCTGCCCAATCGCAGGGCTGGCTAGTCCTCAGGGTGCCCACCATCGATGTTGGCACCTTCTATCTTGGGGGGAACTGGAGTCCCTGTCTGCCCCTCCAGCCAGCGTTTCAGCAGAAGCTTCCCAGTACCCAGAGGGTGGGAGGTGTGGCCTCCCCAGCCAGCCTCTCCCAGCAGCCAGCACAGAGTAAGCACACTGCAGGGGAGGTGCTGCTGTCTCTTTAAGAGAGAGGAGGGAAGACACAGTGTCAACCCTTGAGCACCCAGAGCAGCCCGCCCAGCACTATCTGGAACATTATCAATGAAACCACACTCTGGGCCCAGATTGGTTCCCACTTCCAGGGGGAAGGGGTGGCATGGGGGGGAAGGGCACCCTGGATCCCTAGAGGACTCTTTTTAGTTGAGGGACCTACTCCTTTCTAATTTAAAGACATCCTAGTGGCTCTCCCTCAGCTCCCCCCCACAAATAAACAAACCCAGACTCCTCCCCTTGCTGAGGGCAACACTAGGGACTGTCTAAACCCAGGCCACCAGGGCTCTAAAGGGACCCTCGGGGTGTCAGTGGTGGGGAAGCCTCCGGGTGGTCCCTAGGGGTGCAGTGGCCAAGGACCCACACATTTGGTAAATTATAGCTTGTCTCCTAGCAACAGACAACACATTTAGCTCCATGTGACTCTATCCTCAGGAGGGGGCACACACACACACACACACACAGAGATTGTAAGGGGGCACCCAAGAAAGAGTGAAGGGGTCCCCAACACTTGCAGGAGGGGCTCTGGAAGGGGACGGGGCCACACTGACAGGTCTTGAGCTCCTCCGCGGGGGGGCCTGAGCCGGCCTCCACTCACCTTTGGTGTCCAGCTCCACGTGGATGATATTGCCCATGACCGAAGTGCTATGCAAGTGCTGAACCGCCTCCTTGGCTCCCCTGACCGTGGCAAAGACCACCTTGGCAATGCCCAAGTGCTTCTTGGTCTTAGGGTTGTACAAAATCTCCACCTCCTCCACTTCCCCATACTTCTTGCACATGTCCCTCAGGAAGTTTTCTCGGATGTTATCATTCAGCTTGGCAAATGTCACCTGCTTCGGAGGCACCGGGCCCACGTAGAACTCATCGATCTGGCAGAAGATGAGGGGTAGTTTGGAGAACATTGAAATTGAAGGGAAAACACAACATTCCCCACTGGCCTGCTTGCTGAAAACAATGAAGAGTAAAAAAATAAAAAAAAATTTGGGGGAAAAAAAATGCACGCGGGCGGGCCCGGGAAGCGGAGGATTAAATCGTTTGGAACGTGGAAGTCCTCTGGGTTCGAAAGGAAAGGGGAAAAAGAAACAGTTTCTCTTTCCCCACACCCCCCACTCTGGCCTCCTCTCCCTTCTACCAGGTCAGGGGCGACCCCTTGAGCTAGGAAGTTGTCCCTCAGCCACAAGGCTGGGAAGGGGGGCGGGTCCCGGGGCCAAGCCCCCGTACTGGCAGGAGCCAGGTGGGACCCGCAGCCCCCCGCTGGGCTGGCAGGACACTGTATCAGCACCTCGATTACAGTTTCACCGCAGTGTTACTCTGTTTACAGTAGCTCGGAGGGGACGCCCCTCTCGCAGCAATCTCCCCCTCCCCGCCAAAACTTCCCTGTCCGGGACGGCGGGAACTCAGAATCCGGCTGGGCTCGGTCAGGACTGGCGTTATTTTCGAACTCAGGGAGGGGGAGCAGAGACCGCGGGGCAGAGAGGAGGGGGTCTCACCTTGAATTTGGGCACCGACAGCTCCAGCTCCTTGTTTTTGGTCCAGATCCCGACCACCCGGGGATCTTCGACAATTTCCACCGGGCGGTTGCTGGACATCTGTGGGGAGAAATGGGGGGGGGGGGCAGGATGGGACGGCTGGTCCCACTCCCCAGGGGCAGGGGCAGACCCGCTTCTCCAGGCACTTGTCAAACTCTAGGGCTGGGGACCCGGCTGACAGTTGGCCGGGTGGTCGGGACGGGGGTCCCGGGCCGCTCGGACCCCTCTCCCCCGGCACGACTGAGGATGGGTGGGGGCGGCGGGGAGGCGCGCCGGCTACTCACCGCCAGGCTGAAATGCTGCCCATCGTAGCGGTACAGTTTATGGTGTCCCTTTTTCAGAGCCGGGTCAATCATCAACTTGTAACTTCTCCAATGGTGGTTCCTCCTCTCGCCCGAAGGGCCGGGCTGCGGCGGGGGCTGCTGGTGGTGGTGGTGGGGGTGACTGTTCTCCATGCCGTTAACCCAACCTGAAAACGAGCAAGTTGTTGTCGTCTCCGCCGCGGCGGCGGCGGCGGCCGCTTCTACACACACGCGAAAGAATCAAATCGTCCAGCCCCCACCCCCTCCCACCTTACCAGCGCGCCCCAAAAGGCTCTGTCTCGCTGGCTCCCCCCAAAATAAGAATGGAGCGAGAGAATAACCCTTCCGGGAAAATTAGAAGCCCGCCCGCTCGGCCACCGTCTCGGGGCGGCAGCGAGTGACTCCTGGGGGCCCCCGGTGCGGGCTGGCGGGGCCCGGGGCGCCGGGAGGACGCGGGCTCCGGCCCATGGTGCCCGCCCGGCCGCCCGGCGTGGCGCGCACTCGCTCGCTCGGCCCGGCTCGGGCGCGGGGCTCGCGGCAGGCCTGGCGCCGCCCGCCCGCCCGCCCGCCCGCTCGGCCGGGGCCCCGGGGCCGGGGCTGGGGGCTCGGGCCGCCCGGCTGCCGGCCGCGGCCTCTCCCTCCCCGAGTCGCGCTTACATCCCCGCCGGGCGCCGGCCTCCCTGCGCCGCCAGCCAGTACATGGTGTCCCCCGCGGGAGCCGAGGCCGGGGCTGCCGGACGGGGGGCCGGGAGAGGGGGAAGCCGCCGCCGCGGCTGCCGGGCCCGGAGCTGCTGCCGCCGCCGCTGCTGCTGCTGCTGCCCAGGAGGCGGCTGGCGGCGGAGGCTCGGCTCCCAGTAGCCGCACATCCCACAATACACCGCTAAGGAGCCCGACCCGAGCGCTCACCCTCCTCCTCTTCCTCCTCCTCTTCCTCCTCCCCTCGCCTTCCTCGCTGCTTCCCCAGGCGCTCTCCCGGCGGCGGCAGCTGCGCCGCCAAAGCCCCGGGCCCCAGCGGCCCCCCACCCCTCACTCGCGCGCTCCCACACTGCCTCCCCCCTCCCCAGGGGAAGGCCTTTTAATTTATTTATTCTGCTGGGACCTAGGTGGGGGTCTTGGCGGGAGGGGGAGGGGGTCTCCCCGGGCTCTACCTCCCGCGGCTGAGGCTACCCTCCGAGCCGCGGCGTGCGCCTCGGGCCTCCACAACTGTTTCCAAACTGCCAAGGCCGGAGGTGGGCGCGTGAGGGCTTGGGAACGGGGTTGGGGTTTTGGGGTGTAATTGTGTGTCTGGACGCTCAAGCCGCGGGGGGGAGGCAGGACGACTCAAGACGAGTTGCAATCGAGGTATCTCCGCTCCGGCTTCCTCTTCTGCCGGGCGACCCCCTCCCCCCCCGCCCCCAACCCGCCCCCGAGCTAGGGAGGAGAAACCAGGATTTTAACCAAATTAGCATTCACATTCCTGGGAGGATGCAGCCTTCGCCTGGACCTGGCTGATAGAAGCTTTTTGCTCTGTTTTTATTTTTGGAGAGCAGAGCCCTGTAATTGTCCAGAACACATGCTTCTCTTCCCCCCACCCCCTTCTTCCTCCAGCCACCAGCAGAGGAGAGAGTCCCCCTTTTTTGCATTTATCTTTTCCTTCCCCTTTCTTTATTAAAGGTCCGGGAGTGGCGGCGGCCAATCAGCGCGCGGCTTCCATCTTGTGAGTTCAACTCCTAGGCTCCCGGGCTTCGCGAGGACGCCTTTGCAGCCCCCTCTGCCTCCCGTGTCGGGCGGCCGAGGCGACGAGCCGCCTCGCTGGGGCTTCGGGGTGGTGTATTTCATATTGGGGCTCTTTTCGGGGTTTGTAATTTGGCAGTGGGTAGGTAATTGGCTGGAGCAGGGCGGCAGGGCGCGGCAGCCAATCAGCGCGCGCCTTCTATAGGGCTTGAGTTATTAGACGCTGATCTCAAAACATCCTTCATCAGACACCAAGGAGAGGCCAACAGATGAGGGGAGCCATTTTTCTGCAATGGAATTAAATGGCCAAGTGGGTTTTTCCTTTGTTGCAAATGGGGAATGTTTTTCCTTTGACTCCACCATCCAGTTCAGGACGCCTCAGTGTTGTGTTTAACATTTGTCAACAGGCTAAAGGACTCACAATTGGAAGAATGAAGAAGACTTTTTAAAAAGATCTGGATTTTTCCTTATGACTTGGAATCCATCTTTGTCTTGTATAACTAGGTCATAGCACACCATTAATGTCAGCAGTTAACAGTTTTGAATTCCAAAAAACCTAAGTAAATGACATATTTTTTTCTTCCTCTTTTTTTTTTCTTGGGTGGGTGGTGGTGGGGAGCTTGGAGCTGTCTTAATCTGTATTCTCTTGACTGAACAATAAATTTTTAAATATATATAGTTTCCTCTATTAAACACTTAAACCTGGCCATCTTATTAACTCCTTCTGCTCTCTCTTTTTTTTTTTTTTTTAACAAGGTAATGTTTTCAATGTATAGTTTTAGGACTAGCGAAGTGGCAGCAACAAAAAAATGTAAGCAGTTGTTACTCTTTTAAGTTTTTAAAAACCTTTTACATTGTAAGTACCCAATCCATTCTGTCCTTACGCAGCGCAGTTTTCATGTTAATGTTGCTGAGATGTCCTGAATTTTCTGAACCTTCATCTGCATGTATGTCTTTGTCGCTCTTGTCTAAGCCAGTTAAAATGCTTTTAGACGATTTTGCTTTTATAAAAGCTAAGGCGTTAGCTTTAAGCTTTTGAGAATGTTTACAGCAATAAATGCTAGTCAGCTTTCTTCCCAGTAACATGTACACTTTCTTTGAAAATCGATCTATTTGAAGGAAAACAGCTCTGTTTTTCTGGTCTTAGTAGAGGGGTGGGTGAGGGAAAGGAAGACCTCTTTGTGTAAGAGACTAAAAGCCGTCACAGGAAACTAGATTAAAACTGGAAAACAAGTCCTGGCTGGTTCGAGCCAAACACCAACGTTAACTCGCGGGTATTTTCTATGGTGGTTGGGATGGCCGCGTGTCTTTTTGCCTTTTGTTTGATTTGACTGTGTTTTCGCCTTTTGTCTCTTAATGACGGTCACACCATTGCTATATCCAGAGCAGTAAACAGTCCTCAGCGAAGCCGCCTTTTGCCAACCCAACCCTGGAAAGTTTACCGAAGTGGAAGGAGCAGAAAAATGCCATGAGAGTGTAACTTACAAAAAGGTAACAACAACAACAAAGGCACCACCATTTCCCCCAAATACTCCCAACTAAACAACTCCCCACAAAGATATTTTTTTCCAATAACATCTCCCCAGCCTCCGCCCAGCTTGATCTTCCAGATTCCATGGCACCGGGCTGAGCGGGTAAGTTGTTGTTGTTTTTTTTTAAAAAGTGCCTTTTGCCCCTTCGAGGAAATCTTTTTTTTTTTCCGAGCAGGCCAAGGGCTGCAAATGTGTGGGAGCCGAGGGGAGAAGGAGGTTTCTGGAGCTTTGTGTTTGACAGCCGGGTCCGGGAGGGGTTGGGGGCCGAGGAGGGCTCTTCGGACCCTTCTGCCCCTTCTGCCCGGGAGGCGAGAAGAGGCTCCCCCCGCGGCCTCGGGCGTCCATGGAGCTGCCTGCGCTTTTGTAGGTCTGAGCCTTGGTGGGGAGTCACTTGAAGTGCTTCGGAGACGGGGGTACTCAGGGGCCGAGGAGCCGGCCCCGCCAGGCCCAGGGCCCCTCTGCTCGCCCTTCGGCGTGGGGTCTGGCGCTGCGCGCGGCGCGGGGCTCGGGCGCGCCTGCGCTGCCGAAGCACAAAGGACAAAGGCCGGCGTCCATGTTGGCACCATGACGCAGCACCTCCCGCCCGGCGCCCGGCGCCCGCGGCCCGGCCGCGCTCGCTCCTCCCTCCCAACACGAGTTTATTTTCAGGTTCAGAGCAGAGCCGGCGGCCGGGGCCGGGGCCGGGCGGGACGAGGGGCGGGTGGCGCCGGCCGGCTCTCGTCCTTCCGCCCTGCGTCCCTGTCGAGCTGGGCCCCGGGCAGGCGGGTGGCCTCGGCCGGGCCCGGAGCCCGCGGGGCCCCGCGCCCGGGCCGGGGGCTGCTCGCGGAGGCCGTTGCGGGGCCCCCAGGCCCGAGGGCGTCGCGCGCCGGGGCTTCCGCGCCGGCCCCGCGGGGCGAGGCGAGCAGAACGGCGCCATTTCGCGCGCCGCCCGCGGCTCGGGCGGTGGCGGCCGCTGCGCCAGGCGGGAGGAGGCGGGAGGCGGCGGGCCGGGGGGAGGGGAGGCCGGCGCGCTGTCGCCCACGCTCCTGGCCGCCGCCTGCGTGGACGCCCCTGGCCCCGAGGCCTCGACGTCGAGGCCGGGTGGCCCAGCTGGCTCGGACCCCGCACCCGGGTGGGAGAGCCCTCGCGGGCACCAGGAGGCCTGCTCCCCTCCCTCCCGCGCAGCAGCCAGTAGTAAAGGACTCGGGGGCCGACCAGGGCCTCGAGGCCGCCCCCTGACCCCACGCTGCACACGCGGCCTCGGCGCCTAGATCTGGCTGCAACTGCCCTTTGATAGTCGAGCCCCAGGCACAGGGGCCCCCTTTGTCCCCAGTTCGGGCGTGAGGCCCTCACGGAAGCCACCGACGCCAGACGTGGTCGTGCGTGCAGAGCTGGCCTTCCAATCCGGCTCTCTAGAGGCAGAGGTGGGGGTTGAGGCCTGGGCAGGCTGAGCGGGCCTTCCCCCGGGTCCCCCCAGGCGGAGGGCTCCGGGGTAAACGCACCTCTCTGGCCCTTGGTGGGGGAGGGGATGTGGACGGGGCGGGCCTTTGGAAATGCAGATTAGTCGCCTCCTGCTGCTTGTCGCCCGGGCTGAACCTATGGTGAATCAGCCACCACCACCCCTTAACCATTCCAGAGTTAGGGCGCCTTGGCAGCTAGGAATAAGGGGGAGGCATTTGTAAGGATCCCCTTCCCTCCGGGAGATCCTGCCTTGTTTGTCGCCAGCAACTCCCTAACAAACCCTCTGGCTTCTCCCACCCCCAGGCTCTTGGCCAGAGAAGGGGCAACATGCCGGTACCCCCAGAGTGGACCGATCTCCTCTGAACAGCTGAGCAGGCTTAGTTTGACTCTGACAAGCCTACTAAGGTAGGTGTGAGCCCTTTCCCAACCTGCAAGGGAGATTTGGGGGGCTTTGGCCACCAGCCCTGAGAGGGCGGACACTTCAAACCCGTTTGGCTGGTTCTGCAGCCCCGCCCCTCCTCCCCCCACCCCTCCATGTGTGGGACTGTGTGTGTGTGTGAAATCGGCGGCCTGCTGGGCCTATCCATCCCCGCCTGTCAGCTTCTGTTGTCAGGAGTTTGGGGCATGCAATTCTCTGCCGTATTTAGTAGCACAGGAGAAGCCGTACTGGCTAGTGTTTCCCAGTGGTGTTTTGCGGTGGGGGGAGGGCCCTGGATGCCTCTGAAAGACACCTCTGCTACCAGGAAGCCCAGCCCTGCTCTGGCCCTTCCTTCCTGCCTCCAGTGGGGGCGTGTGGGGTGACTGTATGAGCTGGCCTCTTCTCCGATAGCTGGCTGCTCTTGAGGTGAAGCACAGGATCAGAGGCCTGGGCCAGCTTCCTCTAAGAGATTTCTTGCCTCTTCTGCTTCCTGGGAATTCCCAGATTCCCTCCCCAACACACCAAAATGAGCCGTTTCTAGAGTTGCACAAACTGGCTAGTCATTCACCTGCTGCTACCTTGCACATGCCGCACAGTCTGAGCCCAGCTCTGAGTGGGGCTAGGTCGGTTACTCTCAAACAAGCATGCGTCCCAGTCACACAGTAGAACTGATTCTTGGCCAGTCCTCTGATTCAGTACGTGGGGCCTGAGAACTTGCATTTCTAATAAGTCCCCAGGTGGTGCTAATTCTCTAGGGACACGTTTTGAGAACCCAGGCTAGGTAACACCTGTGGTGGTGTGAGGCTGCGAGCTCAGTGCTTGGCACAGAGTCGTTGGCCTAATAATAATGGCAACTCTCCTCGTTCTCCTAACACAAGCTGTGCCCGCAGTTTCCCATCCTCTTTGTCTCTGGGAAGCTCCACAGCTGGAGACAGTGAGGTCCTTGATCTCTGGCCCCCTCCCCCATGTGGTCGCTAGTGTGTGATGACTTTGATGAACCATTTGGGTCCAGGTGCCACTGATTGAACTGCCTCCCCCGTTTGGCTCACAGCTTGGCTTCTGTATCAGATCAGCCCTGCCCACTTTCATGTGTAAGGGCTAATGTGAGGTTTGGGGGCGTTTAGGGCTTGACCCTGAAATTTTGTTGTGGGCATCTTGGTGCTTAATCAAGGGAGGCTCTAAAGTCAGGCGGCTGTGGGCCTGAATCTCCAGTGCTGGTGACCTTGGGCGAGTCTCCGGTGTAAAATGATAATGATGCATGTTGAAAAGGGTGTTGGGAGAATTAAGGGGGCTGGCCTCACTCTCAGGCTTCACACTCATTCGCCTCCATTCGGATTTGGCTGCAGGGAGTGGAGGCTGGGCTTCCTTCCAGCCCCTCCCCCACTGGCCCACCCGGGAGCACGTGGCTCAGCCTCAGGGCAAAGGGAAAGAAGCCTGTGGAAGGCTGGCAGGCTGCATCCTTCTGCCCTTGTAGTCTGAGTCGGGATGGTGGCCTGCCCCCTGCTCCATGATCAGTCATGACTTGGGGTCACACACACCCCCTCCCCAGAATATAAATGACTCACCCAAGGTCAGGAGGTCACCACAGGCAGCCAGGACAGGGTTCCAGGTGTCTTGACTAACAGCCAGCGCCTGTGTCCGTGGCACCCCCTTGCCCCAGCTGTCTGGGTTATTTTGGGCTCCCTCCTGTGCCAGCTGTCTGCTGGCATCACTGCCGGGGGCTGGGAAAGCAGTCTGGTTGAAAGTAATCCTAGTGGTGCTTAGTTCCTTCTGACTGCCATGCCTTGGCCTCCAGTTCCAGATGAGCTGGGTGAGGTCCGTCTTGTACTTTGCTGAGGATAAAGGGGTGCACCCCCCTGCACCTGACACCAGCCTCCCTCCCGCCTTACCTGGCATAAGGGGAGAGGGGAAAGCTCTTTGTAAAACTTGATGAGCCTCTTCCCTACCTCCCTGGCCTCAGACCTCGGGTTTAAGTTCAGCTCCGACAGTGATGAGCCTATTCAGCCCTTTTAATCCTCCCTGAACCGTTCAGCCGCCTAAGGGTGTCCTGTGTCCCTTAGGATAGAGCCCTGATGGTTGCCAGGCCTGGGGTCTTTACCTGCTGTGGGCTTGGAATTGTTCAGTGATTGATTCAAACCCTCCCCTTTCAGCAGCTGCCTGGAGGGCCACAGCCAGTTCTTCCACTCCCGCCCTGGGACCAATTAGGGAGCAATTAGGTGCTGAACTGTGGTCTGGGTGTGATTCTTGGAAGGGAGAGGTGTCCCCCTGACCCGGAAGGATCGGCCTCTATACCTTTTCTTCGCTGCTTCCATTTCTCTTTCACCCTTTCTAATTTATTTTGTTACCCCACCCCCCACCCCATCACCCCTGGGGGCAGGGAGGGGCAGGGCAAGCTGTCATTCCTCCTTGCCCCGAGGGCGGCTCCGCCCACCGGTCACGCAGGGGGCGATGGGCGGGGCTGCTCCTGGCGCCAAGCCGGTGGGGCTGCCTGGAGAGGGCCACGCCAGCGGAAGGGCGGGCCGCTGGTGACGGAGGCCCGGAGGCTGCCAGACCTGCCTTACTACTGGACGCCGGGGTCCTGCCTCTTCCGTCCCAGCTACCGAGGGCCCCAGCATGGAATATGACCTTTTGGACCCTCTGGGTGGAGACGCAGCTGCGTGGACTGTGAAGAGAGGCACCCTGCCATCTCAAGGCCATCTGGGTCCACTGCTGTCTCCGTCTGGCCAGTGACCTTGGCAGGTCCCTGACCCTCTGAGAGCAGTGGTCTCCCCGTGTGAACTAGGAGGAGGAAGTTGGCAGATAGCCTTTTGAGCTGTTTCTGAGTCTGGCTTTGTGAGGGGAGCTTTTCATATGGCAGTGACTCCACAGGCCACCCTGGGCCACCTCCCCTCTCTGGGACCTCACAGGATGGTCTGTGAAGGCTGTGTCTTCAGCCTCACCAGGAGCAGATGACCTCGGGATGCTCTGAGGCACAAGGAAAGTGGAAGTCAGAGGCATGTCATTAACCATCCTACCTATGCTGGCCACACTTGACCCTCAGAAGACAGAAATGGATCTGGCACCTTCTCTCCTGGGCTCAGCTGGCCACGCTGTGGCGGAGGCCAAATGAGTTCACCCCACAAATGCCACCTGGCCAGCTCCCCTTGGTGTCTGTGTCTCAACAGCTCCGTGGCAAGGACCAGTTTAAAGTATCTTTCTTGTTTTCCTAAATCTCTCCAGGAACTCCTCCTGGTGAATAAAAGGAGAATGACATGGGTCCTCAGAGCATCTCACAGGTAAGGAAGCAGGGCCCCCAGGCATGTGGGTGTGCCCAGCTCCTCGGCTGGCCTGCCCTGGCTCTGCCACCCCAGGAAGCTCCAGCAGCTGGCCTGGCTGTGGGGTATTTTTAGCTACAGATCCAGCCCCTACACCACCACTGGAGCTGGGTCCAAATGAAACACTCCAGGCCGGCTGGGGCTGGGGTTCTGCCAGCCTCTTGGCCAGGCAGGGGTAGGTGGGCAGTCGGGCCAGTGTCAGCTGTTCTGCCTGGACCCAGGCAGGGCTGGAAAGACTCACTTTTCCTCTCCCCTCAGCTTTGTGTAAGTGGTTTGTTCTGTCATAAGTCAAAATTGCAACCCCATTTCTCAGATGGAAGGTGGAAACTTAGGAGCGAGGATGGTCAGGAGTCCTCCCACAGGCTTGTGTCGTTAACCCAGTTTCCCGTGGCATAGTTTGCTCAGAGGGGTGGCTTTTCTAGGTGAATTCTCCCCAGACCCCTCCCAGATGAGGCAGCCCCCTCCCCCTCCCATTCTCCCAGTCTCCATGGCTTTAGGGTCTGCTGTGGGGCCAGGCCTGAGATAAGGCTGCAAAGATAAGTGGTTCTCACTCCTTTCACGCAAAACCCTCTTCCATCCTCTCCCTCCTCCTGGGGTCCTGGGGTCATTTCTTACTTATCTCTGGACCTGGTCCCTTCTCCTGACAACTTCAGGCTGCCTCACCAGCCAATCATAGCTCCTCAGTGGTCACCGAAGAGAGCTTGAGGGTCCAGATTTGGCTGGGCCAGTCCAGGAGCCTTCTGTCCAGTGCCCCCAGCTTGAGCCCAGCAGCCAGGCCCTCTATAATCTAACCCTGGTTACCGTGATAACAGCATCCGGCCTCCCTCCTCTCCCCCAGCCACTGCCAAACCTGCTGGGGTTTTCCAGCCACCGTGCATTTGCCCAGGTTGTGTCTACCTGGCCCACCCTCCCAACACTGCCAAGCTTAGTTCATGTACCACCCAGCTACCAACCTTTTCTGAGCTCCTTACAGGTAGGAACACAATTGCCTCTCAATAAACTTGTGTTGCAAAAAAAAAAAAAATGAATGAGTTGCTGTAAATTTTTCTAGGGGTGCTTGATCCAGCGGGCCATCTGGCTTGGTGACAGGGTAGGGCTTCCACCTAACAACCTGAAACTGGGCTTTAACTTACCTCCTCTTCCCAGCTCCGACTCTTTTGGGGCTTCGTGGGCGGTCGCTGCTGCCCTCTGGTGGTCAGACCCTGCTTGTATTCGCTGAAAACCTTAACGCGACATTTATGGAACTGCCAGGTTGGCAATTTCCTCCCTGAAGCAAAGTTTACCTCATCTCTTCTGAGAACTTGAAAATTGGTCATCTTCGGGGAGGGTAGGGGTAAGATCCTGGGTCCTGCCAGCCCCTTTCGGAGGAAACTCCCAGAGGTCCTACCCCAGCTGGGAGGACCCGGTGGCTCACTTGGCCCTGCCCCGGTGCCTAACCCGCCTGCTGCTCAGCTGCTCCTGGGGCCCGCCACTCCCTCCAGCGGCCTGGCTTGTGGAGCGGAAGTCAGCCCAGGGTCGCAGGGATAGGGGGGGGTGGCAGCCAGCCGCCCTGTAGTACCTGCGTCTGGGGGTGGGCGGGTTGGAACGAATGCTCGCAAGTTGGGGGGCTGCTGGCTGAGCACTTGAGTTCCCGGGTGGAAGTAGGATCGTCAGTCTCCAGAATGGACGCGGGGCCCAGCTGACCTCGGCTCGCTCTACCCGGGCCTCCCCGCCCTCCCTCGGTCTAGCCCTGCTGGATTAGCGCCTCCAGCCCAGCTAGGAGGAGGCTCCTCCTGCCGGCGGGATGCGGGCGCTCACCTGCCGCCCGGCAGGGGGCGCCAGAAGTCCACCTTGCGCCCCTCGGGAGGCGGGGGTAGGTAAGCGGAACCACTATTCCCCACCCCCAACCCGCACCCACACCGGCGCCGGGAGACCCAGACCAGGTGGGCAGAGGCAGCTCCCACGCCAGCATCCCTCTGGCACCACCCACCTACCTCCTGTGGGGACACAGGTCAGAGGCCGACTTGCCTCGGGTCACCCGGCCGGAGCAGGGCCACGCTCCGGGGCTGCCCCCAAAGCTGGAAACCAAGGCTCCACGAACCAGGGTGCTGCGGTGGGGAGGGAACAGTTCGCCAATCAAAGAGCCCCTGCCCAAGCCAGCCAATCAAAGAGCCCTTGATAGAAGGAGGGGCCTGCCAATTAGGGGTGCCCCACGAGAAGCGGCGGAAACGTTGGGTCTTGACTAGGGGTGGGCGGTGCGCCCCGATGAGCTGGGGAGGGGGTAGGCGCTGCGTTTGCGGCTGAGCACCCCGTGTCTCGGTGGCTTCAGTTTCCTTGCGAGTGAGGCGAATGCCCCCGGCTGGTACCCTAGCAGGAAGGTAACGGAGGCTGGGAGGGCGCCCGGGGTGCCCGAGAGGGGCGGTGCCGGCTGGGCAGGGGGCGGGACTTGCCCTGGCCCCGCCCCCGTCTGCGAGCTCGGCCCCAGCGCTCTGCCCGGCGCGCCGCTGTCTGCGCCGCCGGCTCGGGGATATGGACGCCCCCGGGGCCCCGACCCCCACGGCCGCCCCCGGCCCGGGTAGGAAGGAGCTGAAGATCGTGATCGTGGGCGACGGCGGCTGCGGCAAGACTTCGCTGCTCATGGTGTACAGTAAGGGATCCTTCCCCGAGGTGAGCCCGGCGGAGGGTGGGGGCCTGGAGGCGCGTAGGATGGGGAAGGGGGGACGGGCTGGGGACCCCTGGGGCGAGGGACGGCCTTGAGCCTGCACCCGAGCCGGGCCCTGGGTCCCGGGCGCGAGGCGGCCGCCACCCCGCCACCCCGCCACCCTGGGGCGCCCCCTCGGGAATTCCAGAGCCTAGCGGCGTGAGGGGACTGAGCCGGATGAGGCGAAGATGGGGCGTACGAGGGGAGTCCGGCCGGCCCCTGGGACCCTGGGGCCCCGCCGCACTCCTTAAGAGCCAGCCCTGCCCTGTGTCCCACAGCACTACGCCCCATCCGTGTTCGAGAAGTACTCGGCCAGCGTGACCGTGGGCAACAAGGAGGTGACCCTGAACCTCTACGACACCGCCGGTGAGTGCGCCTGCGCACCCAGGGTCCCCGGTGCGCCCTGAGGGTTCCCCCCGCCCAGAGGGTTTCCCCTCCGGGCATCACCACGAGGCCCTGACAGCCCATCACGCCTGGAGGCAGCGGAGGGGTGCTGGCCAGGAGCCGGTTGACCACCCCTGGCTGGGTGGCCCTGGTGGCATAGAGGACCTCCGACACCCCATCTGTGAAAGGAGGGTGTTTGGATGAGGAGGGCTCCTGGACCACCATCCAGTGCTGATGTATTGAGAGCCCACGGCTTCGCTCCTCCCCTGTGGTTCTAGAAAATTATGAGCTTCTTCTGTTTCCCACGGAGCCGGGATTTCGTGTGTGATCTGCTGTGGTCTCCTAAGATTCTGTGAGCTGCAGCTTTGGGTCCTCTGTAGGATTCTGTGGCCTGCGTCTCTGGGTCCTGTGCTTCTAGAATACTCTAGCCTATAGCCCTGAGGCTCCAGGGTCCTGTGGACTCAAAACTTGATTCCCACGCTTCTGGGGTTCCGTGGGCTAGTGTGTAATTCTGGAATTCTGTGGTCTGCAGTTTTGAGCCTGTGGCTCTAGGATTCTGTGGCTACAGTCCTGTGCCTTCCTGGTTCCCTGGAAGCAACCAGGCACCGAGGAAGGAGCTGAGCTCCAGGGAATGTCAGACTGAGGCTCTGTCTGCCACCTGCAGCTCCTAGTGGATTTATGCCACCTGCGGCAGTCAGCAGAGTCCTGTTGTGGGGGGATTTGTGGGAGGAGCTCGGCCAATGAGAGGATGTGGGTGACATTGGTGGGGGGGGGGAGGCGGCACTGCCTTCTCTCAGGGAGTTTCCATCTTTCCCTAGGCTCTCCTCTGAGCTGAATAAACACTGGGGAGCAAAGGTCAGGATTCCCAGCTGGGGCCTTACTCAGCTTCTGTGACTCAGTGTCTAGTGACCTGGGTGGCACCCTGTCATCAGGTGCCCCTTCTCCAGGCAAGCCTGGTATGTATGAGGTGAAGTCTCAGACTGGCCTTGGATGGAGCCAAAATCCAGACTCCTCCCCCACCTCCCCAAGCTGCCACCAGCATCTTATTTTACCTGGAGAGTCTGGGAAGGGGCTGCCTGTCCCAGCCCCAGACTCCTCCCCCACCTCCCCAAGCTGCCACCAGCATCTTATTTTACCTGGAGAGTCTGGGAAGGGGCTGCCTGTCCCAGCCCCAGACTCCTCCCCCACCTCCCCAAGCTGCCACCAGCATCTTATTTTACCTGGAGAGTCTGGGAAGGGGCTGCCTGTCCCAGCCCCAGACTCCTCCTCTGACTTCTGGCAGGCTTTGCTATTTAGGTGCATCCCCACTGCCTGTGCAGCAGCCTCTAAGGACCTTCCCCTCTGGTTGGAGGAAGGCCCTGCGGGGCTGCCCCCAGAACAGGGATGAGCCTCCACCTACTTCTGAGGAATTCCCAAGGGTGTGGCCACAAGAGCAGTAAAATCACCAATGTATGTGGGACACTTTTAGTTTCACATGTTTCCTGTCTGGGGCCCAGGGAGGGGAGGGGCAGGTTCCTTAGCCCCACCTTGTGGGTGGGGTGCTGGCAGGACAGGCAGGGTGCAGGGGAAGTGTCTCTCCTCTCGGGTCCCCAGTCCGCTGTTCCCGGCTGCCTCGCCCCTCAGACCCAGCAGGACCACTCCTGGTCTTGCTCAGAGAAAGATGCTCAAGAAACATGTAAGGGTAGGTTGTCAAGTGAAAGTCTAGAAAGCTTCTACTTGTTTCAAGAAAGGATTTGTAGCCCTGGACGGTTTTTCTCAGCGGTTAGAGCATCAGCTTTCAGACCAAAGAGTCGAGGGTTCGATTCCCGTCAAGGGCAGGTACCTCGGTTGCAGTTGGTCCCCTGGCCCTGGTCAGGGTCCTGCGGGGTGTTTCTCTTTCTCCCTTCCTCCCTCCCACTCTACCTGAAAATAAATGGAAAAATATTCTCAAGGGAGGATTACAAAAAGAAAGGAGTTGCTCTAAGAGCTATTTCAAGAGGGAGGGAGTTGTCAGAATCATTCAAGCACCCGGGGCAGTGATAATGCTCTGGAGTCAGACCTGGGCTTTGCTGCAGGCTCCCCTGGCTGGGTGTCAGGGGGTGCTTGGGCCTCGGCTTCCGCCTTTGTAACCAGGGCTAGAACAATTGTGAGATCAAATCAGGTCCTTGTGATATGCGGCGCTTAGCACAGGGGCTGGCTCTGGGCAAGGGTGCAGCTCCCCACCCCACCCTCTCGGTGGAGTCCCGGGGAGTGGACAAGCCCCACACCCAGCAGGTCAGCCCAGGGAGGGATACTCAAGGAGAAAAAGCACGCTTGCTCCCTCACGGTGTCCCGCTGTTTGGAGGAGAGTGGAGGGGACACCAGGTGCTCGTCCCAGAGCGAGGCTTGTGAGATGACCGAAGAGGAAACCCAGATGCAGAGCCCCTTCCTGGAGAAGCCCTGTGTTTGACGTTCACCTCTACCTGCAGGGGCACCGCTGTCTGGAGAACGTGTTAGGAAAGGATGGCGAGCTGACCAACTAGAAAGAGGGAGACAGCAGTGTGGGGAGGGACCGAGGTGGAGATGCGTCTAGTAAAGTTGTTGTAGAAGATTCTAAAACCTGATGGGCTGGACCCTGCGGTGGGGTCGGGAGGTGGCACCTTTCCAACCAGCCAGTGGTGACCGGAGCCCTGGCACAGGGTTGGCTCCAGGAAGACTGAATTTCCCCACACCTAGGACCTGCGCCACAGGGGCCCCCGGGGATGCCACCCCCCGACTTGTCTCCGTCCTGTGGAAGCAGCCGCAGACACGCAGTGGTGGGAGGGAGCGTGGGGGGTGGGAGAGCACTCGGTGCTCAGCCGAAGTGGGCAGGGTCTGTGAGCACCCACTGCCCTGGCAGCCACGCTGTGGCCCGACACCCGCAGAGACAGGAAGCTGTGGTGAGGTCTGAAGTTTCCTGGGGAGGCAGAGGCGAGGTGGGGCGTTAAGACACCAACCAGATACGGAGCTATCAGAGCCTTGGGGTGGGACCCGAGTTGGGGTGTCACGAGATGGGGTGGGGATTGCCCAGGGAGGTGGAGAGCTGTGGTTTCCTTCTCAACACTAGGGAAAGTGGGGGGCAGAGGACTTGCTAAGACAAGGAATCAGGGACAAGAAGGGTGTCTGGGAGCCAGGAGCACAGAGGCTCGGGGGCCGAATCTGGGGGCCGTCACCTCAGAACCGGCTCTCAGCTGTGGGCTGGCACTACCCGGGCCTCAGCTACTGCAGTCTCCGGGGGGGCCGTGCAGGTGGTGGGCCCCAGGGCACCAGTGAAAGTGGGTTCCTTTTCTGGAAGCTTCCCCTTCTCAGGCTGCCTGCACCCATCCCCAGACCAACGCCCTGGCCAGAGCGGGGGCCCACCTGCCAGCGATTTGAGGACCACTGTGGCCTGATGACATCCTCTCCTGTCAGTCCCGTGCCATGCCGTAGCACCCCTGCCCCGGGAGGATGACGGCCGCAGCCAAGCTCCTTCCCGCAGGGGAAGTGTGTCTGGTGAGGTGGGAGCTTCGCTTCCTCCCCGCCCCACAGACCTGTCCTCGCCAGACCCAGTGCCTCCTCTTGCACAGAACTGCTGCTGCTGGTTTAACATCTGAAGCCCGGCTGCAGAGCCACAGCGGGCACCTGTATGCTCACAGACAGGCGACTTGGCCCCTTTGAGCCCTGACACTACTGTGGGTAAACGAGGAGGGTAATGATACCGCATTGTGGCCGCAGGACCCCATGAGGCTGTGGGTCTAAGGAGCCAGGGTGAGAACCCCCGCCCCCAAGAACCCCGCTCCTTGGAAGATTCTGTTTCCGGAGTAGCCACAGTAGCAGTCCCTCACCTTGGCCCAGCATTGCTCAGCCTGCAAGTCCTTTACTTCCAATATCAGGGCAGAGTTATCTCCCCCTTTTCCAGATAAAGAAACTGAGGCCCAGAGAGGGAAGGTGCCACAGTCATGCAACATGACTCTGAGTGCTGCCTGGCCCTCCTGACTCACACAGGAGGCGTCTAAGACACTCCACCCCTCCCAAGGAGACTTGAGGTCAACAGCACCAGGAAGTCTATCTGCAGGGCTGGTTCTCGAGCAGGGGCCCACTCTGAGCCCCGGGGAGAGCCGAGCCAGGCACAGTCAAGCCAGGAGGACATCCCGGAGGAGGAGCTGGGATCTGGGTGGGCTGCCCATCTCCTCCCAGAATCCCTCTCTTCTTGCGATACCTGTGTTGGTAGCCTTCTCCTCACCTAGTCAGGTCTGGGGTTTGTCGGGTGAGGACAGCTCCCTGTCCTTTGGGGTGCAGTGAGAGAGGCGCCCCAAGAGTCCTGCCTATGGTCTTCTGTCATTTACCACGCTTCCTCTAAGCTGTGTGACTGTGGACAAGTCACTTCGCCTTTCTGTTTCGGTTTCTGCATCTGTACAGTGTAGCAATGGTCCGGACAGGACCACAGTGAGGAGCGGAGAGCTGGTGCAGGCAGAGGGCTTTGAGTGGGGCCTGTGATGAGCACCACTAGCCATTTTCATGATGACTGTCGTCAACACCTGCTCCTCACATACCCATTTCACAGATGAGGAAACAGGGCCAGGGGTGAATTCCCGATGGGGAGGCTGGGGAAGGCGTCCTGGGAGAACCGGTACCTTTAGACAGGCGTGGCAGGCAGCTGACCGCGGACCTGGGGACTGAGTTGGTGCTTCAGCTCCCAGGGAGCTTGTCTTTGACCTTGAAAACTGCCCGCTCAGTCACGTGGGCTCCTAACAGGAAGAACCGTCCCCACCCAGCTTACTTCCCAGGGTGGCAGCTCAGATGAACACAGGTGCGGTGCCCTCCAGGGGCCCAGAGTCACAGGACCGTCGCTGCTCTCCCCCAACCCACTCGTTCGGCAGTTCACTCGCTGACCAAGCGGGACTGAGCTCGCCGGTGTCCCGGTGTCCCGGGGGCAACAGTGAGTAGCAGACTCGGCCCCTGTCCTCAGGGGGAGACAAAACAAAACAGAACAAAAAGAAAGCCCGGAGCGCGCTGTGCCGCCCCGCAGCCATCCGTGCGAGGAAGAGAGAGAAAGCCACCTGGGCGGCGGGCACACTGCGATGGCGGTGCTTCAGAGCGTTCTCCTGGGGGGGACGCTTCTACAGACCTGAAGGAAAGGGGGGCTGAGCCATGAGAAGGGTAAGGGGGGAGTCTCAGGTTGCGTGGCTCAGCCTGACTTCCCCGGTCAAGGTCAACCCACTGCAGTGACCTCTGCCCTGTCCCTTCTGCTGGGAGCATCACAGCCACAGTTGGCAAACCCCGCGGCACACCTCGGCCTCGTCTCCAAGGTGCCAGAGGTGACCAGGGTCAAAAAGCCACCAGCCAGTATCGACAGGCCGCCTGCTGGGCACCATGGTCCCTCCCTCAGGGCGCTTACAGTCCACAGGGCGACAGGCAGTGAACAAGTACACACACGATACAGATTGTGGACAGACAGGCAGGGTGGGCTTCGAGCCGGCGAGCCGAGGAGAGCCGTGGGGACCAGCTGCCCCGTTTCCAGCTACTCGGCCTCTCGGCCACACTTCCCAAGGGGAACGAGAACGCACGTGTTACAGCGCACGTGTGAGCCACACCCTGCACCGTGGAGGCCGGCCCTTCACTGCCCCGGAGCAGAGAAGAGATCGCTGTGTGTTTGCAGGAGAACTGGACTTGGAATTGAACGAACTGGGGGTGAGTCCTGGCTCAGTCGCTGATTCAGTGACCAGGGGCAGGTCACTGCACTGCTCTGAAACTCAGTTTCTTTCAGTATAAATGGGAGTGTTTGTAAGTCCCCTGGCTAGGTCATCAGATGGTTGCTGTCAGGATTTCTTTTTTTTTAATCCTCACCTGAGGACATTTTTTCATTTTTTATGAGGATAGAGTGGGAGGGAGAGAGAGGAAGAGAGAGAGAGAGAAACATTGACGTGAAAGGGACACATCGAGTGGCTGCCACCCGCACAAGCCAACCAGGACCGGGGACAAACTGCAACCGAGATACGCGCCCTTAGCGGGAACCGAATCCGGGTCTCTCTGGACCACAGGCTGATGTTCTAAACGCTGAGCCAAACCGGCCCGGGCAGGATTTCTTAATCATTTACAGGCAAACGCCTCTGAGAAGTACGTAAAATGTAGGGTGGTGTTATTATTAAGTAGAAATAGAAGGCAAAAGGAAATAATGTGGATGGTCAGTCTGCATGTTTGAAAAGAAAACGCCAGAGAGAAAATGGGGAGAACACATGAGGGAAAAGCACCCGAGGTGTGGGGAACAGACGTGCAGAGGCTCTGAGGGCACAGAGCTTGGTGGGTTTGAGGGGCAGCGAGGAGGCCACCTGCACTGGACCGTGGTGACCAAGGGGTGTGGCGGGAGGGAGATGAGGTCAAGGTCAGTGGGCCCAGGTCTTGTGAACCACGGGAGATGTTTAGATTTTATTAAAGGGCAGTGGGGAGCCATTGAAGGTCTTTCTGTTGGGAGAAGGGCAGGATTTTACTTGTGTTTTTAAGATCCATCCAGCTGCCGAGTGGAGAATAGATTCATTGAGGGGCAGCAGGCCCTGGCCGGTTTAGCTCAGCAGTTAGAGTGTCGGCCCGCAGACCAGAGAGTCCTGGGTTCGGTTCCCACTGAGGGCACGTACCTCAGTTGCAGTTTGTCCCTGGCCCCGGTTGGGATGGCGCGGGTGGCAGCCAGTCAATGTGTCTCTCTCGCATTGATGTTTCTCTCTCTCTCCTCCTCCCTCTCTCCTTCCCGCTCTAGCTGAAGATCAATGCAAAAATGTCCTCGGGTGAGGATAAAGGGGGGGGGGGGGCAGTAGGAGACCAGGGAGGAGGTGGCATGGGAGACCACTGGTGGCCTGTGGGGGTGGTGCCATGCTGTGCCACAGAACTTTCTGCAATGAAGGAAACGCTCTATACCTGCGCTGTTCCAATAGCCACTGGCCCTGTGTGCCAGTCAATCACTTGAAATGTAGCTAGTGTAATGGAGCACCTGAATTTTTAATGTTAATTTAAAGAGCCACATGGGGGGCTAGAGGCTACCCTATTGGCCAGCAGCAGTCTAGAAAGACATGGACAGAGGTTAGGAATGGAGAGTTTGGGGGCAGAAAGGGGAATGCATGGCTGGAACAGCACGCGGGGCCAGTTCTCCTTGTCTGAGGACTTCTCCAGCTTTGGGGTGAAGGTAGGAGGGTCCGAGTGGGCTGGGCCCTGCCTACCACTCACCCCTTCTCCAGTGTTAGGGAGGTTTCAGCGGAATGACAGTGTGGACAGTCCTCCTATGGCCCAGCTGTGTTAGGACTGTGGCAACCAGTCACTGCCCGCTACAGGGTCCCTGGTTTGAAGGGGAGCCAGTGGGAAGAGAGGGTGGCCCTGGCCTGTCTGTGCTCAGTGGAGGGGCCACTTGTCTTGAGAAGGAGGGGCCAGCAGGGGACTCCTGGGCCTCTGTGTCCATGTCCGCTGAAAGTCACCTTGCCTCTCTGCAGAGGTGCTGGGGGGTTAGTGAGCCTGAAAGGCTCTCAGCTCTCACTGCGGGAGTCTCAGGACCACCACTGAGTGCAGGGCCCACGCGCAGCACGCGGCCTCTGGCCGGGGAGAGTCCTGGGGGGCGTCGGAGCTGCACGCGGCCAGCGGGTCGGGCTGGAACAGCTTCGGGTCGCCTTCCCGAGTTTGGTAGTCGTCCTGGTGTGGGAGGCTGTCCTGTTCTCAGAGCGCCCTTAGAAAGTCCCCGGGGCACTATTTCCGCGTGAAGGAGCCCCGTGTGTGTGCCTGCCTGGCATGTGGTCCAAGGTGTTTCTGTAGATGTCGCAAGTGGAGTGAAACACACTCAGGGAATCCGAGTAAGGGCGTTCTTTTGCCCTTCTTCTGTAAGTTTGAAGTGATAAATTTAAAACAGAACAAAACACAAACCCGCCGCTGCCCCAGCCCAGCCCTGGGTTCTGACTAGCTGGTGCCAGGCAGGGGCCGAGCGCTCATTTCTTCCCCCAGGTGTGTCTGATGTGCTGGGGCGGGGACCCGCTGCCGTGTGGGCCGTCCCGGTGTGGAGCTCGCTGTCCCCTACTCTGCCTAGCACTGGCCAGAATGGCATGCACCCCTCGGCCTGGGGGCACCCTCCTCTGCTGGTGGCTTCGGAGTCCGCACCTTCGGCCTGGCACCAGGATTGGGGGCTGGGGCAGGGAGAACCGGCTCCGGCATCACTGCCAGCAACCCTTCAGCACGCACCCGTGACCAGGCCCAGTCCTGAACACGGCCTGGGTTTTCTCCCCTGTAATCTTTGCTGCCGCCCAGCACGGGGGCTGCCACCTGTTCTCCACAGGACAAGACTGAAGCCTAGATGCCTCGCTTGTCCAGCAGGCCCCCGACCCCTCGCCCTTCTGAGCCCAGACCAGGGACTCAGTGTGCAGGGAAGGGGTGCCTCCCTGACCCCATCTGCTCTCCGTTTTCAGGGCAGGAAGACTATGACCGGCTGCGGCCCCTGTCCTACCAGAACACCCACCTCGTGCTCATCTGCTATGACGTCATGAACCCCACCAGCTATGACAACGTCCTCATCAAGGTGAGGCCTGTCTCCCAGCCTGCCTGCCTCTGGGGTGGGGACCACGGATCCAGCCCCAGCCTGATGCCCAGCCTCTCCCTCCACAGTGGTTCCCTGAGGTCACGCATTTCTGCCGCGGGACCCCCATGGTGCTCATTGGCTGCAAGACAGACCTCAGGAAGGACAAAGAGCAGCTGCGGAAGCTCCGGGCAGCCCAGCTTGAGCCCATCACCTACATGCAGGTCTGCCAGGGCCCCTCCCCTCCTCTCGCTTCCCCCCCCATCACCACCACCAGGAATCCAGGTCCCTCAGCATAGCTGTGGCCAAAAACACTCCCAGGCCCTTGGCCTCTGCAAATGGGGTGCCTTGGCACCTTTCAGACAGCTGAAGTAAACAGGGTTTTAAGAATAACAATGTAATATCGATCGCTCACTTATCTGAGCACTGTACTTACTTCACGTAATCCTATAACCACGAGGCTCAGGTAGTTAGTGTTCCCATTTTACAGGGGATAAACTGAGACCCAGAGAGGTTGCCCAGGGTCACACAGCTAACCTGGAGTGAAGCTGGATGCCATCCCAGTCACTCTGGCTCCAGGGTCTGGGCCTTAGCCACCAGCCCGTCCCGTCTCCCTGAGGGACCCTCGGGACAGGCCCTTGCACGACAGCAGGCTTCCTTGAGCGCAGGAGAGCCTGGGCAAAGCCTGGCCCTGGGCTTTCTGGGGAGGCGTGGAGAACAGAAGGGACACAAAGGAAAACCAATAAAGTTTAATAAGAGGGAATAAGCATTAATCAAAGTAAATTTGTTTTAGAAATAAATATTTTTCCCCTAATAGCAAGCTCAGTTGCCTCAATGGTGCTTTCGAGAAGGGAGAGAGATGTATGTAGGAAGCCCTTGTTGTCCTGAGGCCTCACCTCCTCCCAGACCTGGCAGCCACACAAACCACCCCATTCTCAGAACGCACCCCCGCTTCTGCCTGAGGTCGCGGAGAGGGAGGGGGAGGCCAGGATGGGGCTTCTCCCAGCAGGGCCACCAAATAGATCCTTCTGTTCCATCTACACACACTGGGGGGACTGGCCCCGGGCTGGAGCCAGAGGGGCCCCACGCCGAGGCCTCTGCTGCCAGGCAGCCCTAAAGCCAGCCCCAAACCCACAGGGGTTGTGGGAGGCACCCCAGGCCAGGCCCCTCATGTAATGCTGGACACTCCCCCACCCAGGGCATGAGCGCCTGTCAACAAATCCAAGCCGCCCTCTACCTGGAGTGTTCCGCCAAGTTCAGGGAGAACGTGGAGGACGTCTTCCGAGAGGCTGCCAAGGTCGCCCTCAGCGCACTGAAGAAAGCGCAGCGGCAGAAACACCGCCGGCTGTGCCTGCTGCTCTGACCCTGGGGCAGGCGCCTGGCCCGGCCCGCAGACAGGACTGACGGGCCCTGCTCTGTCCCCACAGTCCTGCCCCAGCCCAGCTCTCCGAGGGCACGTGGAATTGGGCGTCTCCAGTGCCTGGTGTCTGGAGCCTGGCAAGGCCCTCGGGACATTCTGGACTCTCCTTTCCCAGCTGGGGCTCTGACCAGGACCTCTGGAGCTGCGGCCTGTGTGGTGGCGGGTGAGGGTGCTGGACTCAGTCCCTCTGGACCTTGGAACTGGCATTTGTGCCCAGGAGTCTGGAGTGCCCTCTTCGCACCCTCCCCCAGCCGTGTTTGTGTCCCTTCCCACACCCAGCAGGTCCTCAGAGCCTGTCCTCCTTGAAAGGAGAGGCTGCATTGGTACCGGTCAGTGTGGATTCGGTCAGTGTGGAGTCGGCTGTGCTCCCCAGCCTCAGCCTGCCGCTCCTGGACCCGCCTCCCCGGGCCTGGGAGATAGGCAGGCTGCATCCTGTCCTTGCTTCCTTCCCCAGGACTCCTGGCCGCGAAGGCTGAGGCCTATCAGGAGAACACAGCTGGGACACGGGGGTGCCACCCCCCCATCCTGTCCTCAGCAGAGGACTTCAGTGCTGCCTTCGGCTCGGCCAACATCTTTCCAGCGCTGGGCGCGCGTGACCGGGAGGAGAACTCAGAAAGCAGACGAAGCCCCTGGACCAGCCATCCAGCCCCGGCTCAGGGTCTCCTCACCTGCGACCCCCCCCCCCCCCCGCCGGAAACGCAGATGAGCAGGGCCGGCTGCTCTCAGGCTGGCCAGCCCTCGCTGGGGGCTGCATCCCGGGCTGCAGGACGCCCGGCTCACCGAGGCAGCCACCCTCACAGCCACCACTTCTGCCCAGAGGTGTTCTGGAGCCAAGACCAGCCTGCCTCCGGGAACGGACTTGACCGACCGACCCCCAGCTGCAGAGTCACTGAACCCCCTTCTGAAAGGTCTGGGCTCAGGAATCCGGGAAATTTTAAACAAGTGCCCCAGGAGATTCCAACACCCGGAGACTGAGTGAGCTCGGGAGGCAGCATCACCTAAGGTGGGGAGGATGACGCCAGGTGTCTCCTGCACCCCAGGTGTCTCCTGCTGCAGCCCCCTTTCTCTGAAGTCCACCCCACCCCACCTAGGTTCCCTGAGGCCCTACCATGCTCTGGGGACTCAGCGAGCTTTCAGACCAAGGACCTCGTGTTCTAGCAGAGTCCAGGGCCTCGTGGACAAATGAGGGTTTAAAACAGAGGTCAGCAAACTATGGCCTGTGAGCCAAATCTGGCTGCCGTATGTTTTTGTAAATAAAGTTTTATTGGAACACAGCCAGGCCCATTCATTTATGCATGGGCTACTTTTGCCTCACAACTTCAGGTTACAGTAGTTGTGACAGACCACCTGGCCCTTTACCAGAAAACTCTGCCAACGCCTAGTCTAGGGCAAACCAAAGTACCTAAAAGGCCAGATGGGAGGCCCAGAGAGTGCAGGAGGGCAGGGGTAAAAGGGAGTGGTGGGGTCTGCGGCAAACTAGAAAGCAAGTACCACCTTAGGCAGACAGCTCAGCCCAGCCAAGTGCTGCCCTGTGGGAATGCTGCCAGGTCTTTCCATTTTTCTAGGGAAAGTAGAGATTGGGATTTTTATGTGGAATCTTACGGGGGTGGAGAGTAGATTTCATATTAAAACTAATTTAAAAAATTTTACCTGCCCTGGCCTGTTTGGCTCAGAGGTTAGAGCATCGGCCTGCAGTCCCGAGAGACCCGGGTTCGGTTCCCGCAAGGGCATGTGCCTCGGTTGCAGTTTGTCCCTGGCCCTGGTTGGGGTCATGCGGGTGGCAGCCACTCGATGTGTCCCTTTCACATCAATGTTTCTCTCTCTCTCTTCCTCTCTCTCCCTCCCACTCTATCTGAACAAAACAATGGAAAAATGTCCTCAGGTGAGGATTAAAAAAAAAAAATTAACCCCTTTGAGGGCCAAGGGTGGCTGTGGACACCAGCCTGAAGTGTAGGAGAGCCATCAGGGCAGTGGAGGCATGTGGGAGGAGAGGGGCAGAAAAGTCGGCTGTACCCATTCACTTCTTTCCCTCCCCACGAGTCCAGAGTCTAACATGAGGTGACCAGGACACCTGTCCTGTGCGGCCTCCTGAAAGAGGCTGTTCAGAACCCCCCCCCCCCTTTCTAGAACCTCTGGAGTTAAGACAGGAGGGAGGTGGGAGGTTGGGTGACCTTTGTGCTGGCTGAAGTCCCGGCCAGAGTTGAGGGTCCTGGTCTCATTCGGAGTTCCCCCTGCAAGAACTCGGGAAGGTGGGCTGAGGGGAGAGGGTCAGGAAGAGCGACCCAGACTTGCAGCCCTCAAACTGCCCAAACGATGCAGGGGTTGGGGCGCCCTCTGGTGGTGACCCTCAGAAAGCCCTCCTGCCTCAGGCCCCACTGCTCCAGGGGCACAGAACCCCAAGCCTCAGGGAGACAGTCCCTTTCCCCAGGTGGCCGGCAGCCAGGGGACTCAGGAAGCACAAAGAGCACAAGGCACAGACAGTGGTTCTCTGAGAACGTAAATACCCGGCCACAGAGAAATGGCGGCCGGGAGGAGGTGGGAACTTAGAGCGAGAGCATGTGCCTGGGGACTGAGGCTCCACAGGACACCCAGCGGCTTCCTCCTGCCCCACCTGGGACTCTGTAAGTAACAGGTCATAGATCCAAGCCCAGGAGGCATGTCCACACCCCACCCTGAGGGGTTCAAATGACAGGAGTGGGGACAGAGGGGCTCCCTGAGGCTTAGCCTCCTCCCAGGAAGACTTACCCGGTCTGGCCAAGAGCAGGGGGGGGGGGGGAGATTCCAGGGGAGTGGGGAGGGCCGGTATTAAATATGCCATAAATAGGGAGGGTGGGGTGGCTACTACTGCGCTGAAGGCTGGGGTCACATTCCTCGTGTCCAGTCGGGGACTAGGGCCTTGGCCCTGCTCCCCGTGAGACCACTGGCCCCTGAGGTCACTGCTGAGGAGAAATCAGCAGTGAGGGTGCCGACAGACCCCCTGCAGTCTCGCAGTCCAGGGGCTCACGGCTGCTTCGCCTTGCCTCTGTTCTTCTGGAGCTTGGCGTGCACGACTTTGAGTGTGGTCAGGAAGTTGCCGAGGAAGAGGACCAGGAACGTGAGCGCCAGCACGAACACCTGGTGGGGCCAAGGTTAAGGGGAAGGAAGGAAAAGGCTGTGCCAGCTCTGATCAGCTCCCCGTGCTGAAGTGCCGCCCCACCCCCAGACCTCAGAGCCCCTGAGCACAAGCTACCCGCAGCCTGCAGGGTTTTGCCAGCGGAAGGCAGAGGTCTGGGCCAACCGGGTGAAGGACGTGAGTCCTCGGTGTCAGGCAGGGTCCGGGGGAGCTCCTCTGGCCTCGGTAGCGTTCAATGGGGAGCCTCCCGAATTCCCTCCCACCTTTTCCCAGGCCCCAGTAGCAGAGAGGTCTGGGCCCCACGGAGAAGAGCAAGGGGGATGGCAGAGAGAATTCTCCCCAGGCCAGCCCTCCCCGGGAGCACCGCCGCACACGTGCGCGTACACGCACACACACCCGCGCACACGCATGCACACACACGCATACCTGCCATTCTCTGCACTCCTCGTGGCTGGAGAGCTCGAACAGCGTGACTGCGTTGTAGAGCTGCCAGAACTGTGGGAGGGAGGCAGGCGCTGCTCAGCCCCACTCCCCTGGGGACCACGTGGGAAGGGATGTACCAGGACCCGCAGCCTCTGGTAGCAACTGCCCTGAGATACTGAAACCCCCCAATGGAACGGGCACCCTAGGCCAGAGTAGTCTGAGGGCCAGTTCTGGCCCCTGCCTTTGGCCCCCCTGGACCCAGGGGCAGTCAGACCCTGGGACCCCACAAGGCCCAACCTGGAGATGGCTGGTGAATGGGGGAGAGGCCTGCAGACCTGTTCCTGGGGGTCAGCCCAGAGTGGGGAATACCCACAAACCCAGGGGAACTCACGTGGCCACAGAACAGGAAAGGCAGGAGGAAGGTGAGGCCCCGCCACATCCAGGACTGGAATCCCTCTGTGGAGAGGAGGGAGGGAGGGAGCGAGGGGCCCATGTGAGGTGATTCAGCTGCCCCAGGGCCCCAAGCGCTCACTGCTCAGCCATGCCAGGCACCCTGGGATCGGCTGGGCACAGACACAGCGTGGGGGGAACAGCCCTCAGCTCTTACATGTGCATGAGTGCTCACTGTGAAATCACCCAGAGAAAACGCACAACATTGTCACCAGGCTGACCGCTCTCCCACCTCAAGTCACCAAGAACAAGTGGGCTCAACACTTACGGAATTCGGATGTGCCAGGCACTACGTTTTTAATACTTTCATTTGCATTTTATAGTGAACTTTTGGATACATCATTTCAATCGAGTCTTGAAAAGTAGGGCCTACTTTGCGGAGCATTTCGCTAGAAATGACCATCTTAAAAGACAGCAGTTTTGCCCTGGCCAGTTTTGCTCAACGGTTAGAGCATTGGCCTGTGGTCTGGAGAGACCCGGGTTCAATTCCCACTAGGGGCATGTACCTCAGTTGTGGTTTGTCCCCTGGCCCTGGTTGGGTCGTGCGAGTGGCAACCACTCAATGTGTCCCCTTCACGTCGATGTTTCTCTCTCTCTCTCTCTCTCTCCCTCCCTCCTACTCTATCTGAACAAAAAAATGGAAAAAATATCCTCAGGTGAGGATAAAAAAAAAGACAGTAGTTTTACTAAAAACAGCTTCCCCTGAAAGTTTAGGTGAAAGGTGTAGCTTTTCCGATTGGGCACTGGCCCCAGCTGTGTGAAACACGTGACACACACATCCCTGATGTGTGTCCAGGTATGTTTATGTATATTTACATGTAGTGATATTATACATGTTATACATGTGCAACAACACTAGGATAACATATATTATAAATTACAGGCAGAAAGAATAGACGTTTAGAAAAGATCCGAGAAGCCGGCATGGAGGGCACACAGCCCTGGCTTTGCGTGCGGTAGGTCTTGTGTTCCACTGGCACATGCTCCCACTGTGGGGGTTGAGGTGAGGTCTGGGGGAGTAGGCAGGGGCCAGTAATTGTCCCTCCACACCCCAGGCCGGCTACTCACCCACAGTGAGGTCCAAATGATTCCTCTCCCCCAGAGCCCGCAGCCGGTAGAGGCAGCCTCTCTGGTAATAATATTGCAGGAACTGGACACAGCCTGCAGGGGGAGCACAGCGCCCGGATCATTGAGTGACACCTCCACCGCAAAGGGGCGGGTCTTCACTGCGCAGAGGCGTCCTGGGTACAACACTCCCACCCCCAAGACAGAGAGAGAGAGAGTGACACACACACACACCCAGACACACACACCCAGACACACACACCCAGACACACACACTTTCGCTGGAGCTTTGCTAGGCAGGCAGTAGACAGTCCAGAGCCGCAGCCCCAGGCGCTCCAGGCGGGGAGCTGAGGGCAATGCCCGGACAGCAAGCCATGCTGTACCGACTCGGGAAGATGCCCGTGGGGATGGTACAAGCAGAGCTGTCTGCACAGAGGGATCCCACGTCCGTGGACTGTACGCAATGCAGTGTAAATGTATGGACATCTTTGTGAATGAAAACGTTAGGAAGGACACCAACCTATTCCCAGTGATCACCACTCCCCCCAGGGTGTACAGGATCTTCATTCCCCGCTTTCTCTATTTGTCTTTGTGGGTGAGCAGGGCTGTATTTAAAAAGTGGGCTGGATGTTTTGAATCGGCAATGCGCGCACGGCGTGAAATGCAAAGGGAACAAACAGGCGTATGGTGCACAGTAAACTCTCTCCCTGTCTCCAGCCAGCCGAGCTCCCCACTGCTAGAGGTGACCCCTGGGGCTAGTGCTTTGTGCGTAAGTCCAGAGCTATTCTTAAATGAGAAAAAGATTATCTTTACATTTGGAGGAAAACAAAGTTAGTGCCCCCAACACCACGGGGCCCCCAGGGGTCCTAATGGTCAGGCTGTGGTCGGGGAAGAAAAGGCGGCGGCTGTGGCGCCGGGGACGGGGACGGGGCAGGCCACCCCTTCTCCGCGGCTGCGAGGTGAGGGGTAGGATGGCGTCATCTGCGGGGCGGTAGCTCTTTTCTGGATTTCTGGACCCTCCCCTGCCCCAGGCTGGCCAGGCTCCTCCCCGGTCTCCTCCCCCTTTCAGGAAAGACACGCCCCTCACCGGGACGTGGGGCGGGGCTTCTCCGGGACCACGCCCCCTTCCCTGAATGGGGGCAAGAGACACTTACTCTGAAAAATGGAAAACGCTAAAAACTGGCTGCGAAACTTCTGATAGATCAGCCCGTCCGGCCTGCGGAGAAGGGGGGAAGAAGGCGAGGGGTGCGGGGAAGTCAGACATCCATCCCACCCATCCTGTTCCAGCTCCGAGGAGGACAGGGTCCCCAGTGAAACCCAAACCCCGATTTCTACCCTCCTTCACCACCGCGCCCCAGGGCTAGACCCGGTTACTGCCATCTCTGCTTTAAGTCTGCTCTAGAACCAGCGCAGCTCAAAGTCCCCACGGGTCCCCTCTCCCTCTGGGCCGACTCCTGGGTGCCGCAGCCTCGTCCCTGCGCGTTCTATCCAGCCTCGCTCCCTGTCACCTCCGCCCCAGCCAGCAGGCGGGTGGCCCTTTCCAGGAGAACTCCCTATGCTCAGCTGTAAGCTCGCACCTTCCTTCTTGGCCCCGACGTCAGCCCAGGCCAGGGCCTTCAGTCCATCTGGGCCCCTCACCCACCGCTGGTGCCCAGTCCGCAGAGGCTGGGGGGTGGGGCGGGGACACTCACCAGGTCAGCATCACTCCGGACAGGAACGTGGACACGTAGTGGTGAGACACCCACCAGCCTTTGATTCTCAGAGAGAACAAGGGGAGGAAAGCTCAGGCAGGGAGAGGGGCAGGCAGCTCCCAGCTCCCCAGCCTGTGTGGGGACGCTGCCCTTCTCCCCGTCCTACACAAAAGCGACTCATCGATGAGCCAGGAGACCCCCGAAGCACACGGGCCTCCGGTGGCTCCCAGCTACCCTGAGAACCCGGCTCTATCTCACCACCCACCGAGTCCCACCTCCCTGTCTTCTCCTCGAACCACTACCTCAGGCCTGTTATGGGCTCAATTGTGTCCCCTCCAAATTCATAAGTTGGAGCCCCAGCCCCCAGTGTGACGGTATTTGGAGATGGGCCTTTAAAGAGGTCACTAAGGCTAAAGGAGGTCATGAGGGTGGGCCGCGCTCCAGTAGGACTGGTGTCCTTATAAGAGGAGACACGAGGAGTGTGCATGCTCACAGAGAGGCCACGTGAGGGCACGGGACAGTCTGCCAGCCACGGAGCGGCCCCAGGAGTGACAACCCTGCCGGTCCCCTGGTCTTGGACTCGCAGCCTCCAGATCAGTGAGAAAACATTTCTGTTGTTTGAGCTGCTCGGGCTGTGTATTTCGTCACGTTGGTCCGAGCTGCCCGACTGGACCCTGGACTTGTGCTCTCTGCTCCCAGACCTCGGCCTGCCAGCCTCCTGGTCCAAATTCAAGTTCTGGCTGTCACCTCCTCCGAGGCCTTCCCTGACCCACTCATCTAAGGCTGCCAGACTGCCCCACTCCAGACCACAATGTCCTGTTTCATGCTTCATGGTGCGTGGCGCTGTCTGGTTCATCGATGTACCTGCTCAGCGCAGGTGTTCAGTAAGTGTGTTGAATAAACACAGAACCTACACACACACATATGATTTACATAGAGCTGTGGCTACCTACATTACCCCAGACAGAGAGAGGACGGCCCACACGCGCAGAGCCTCGCCCCATCCCGGACACGGCTGCTCCCTGATAGCCCCACACCCTGAGCGAATCTGCTCCTTCGTCGACAGCGGGCCCTCGCTCAGCCTTCACTTGTCCAGTCCACGCGCTGTGGGGACCCTGTTGTCAGAACCCAGCGTTCCCCCAGCGCAGGGCTCTCACTCCGTGGCAGGGGAGGGTCCTGGCTGCCACTCGCTCCTGTCAGGAGCAGCCCAGAGGAGTGCTGGACCCGAACACCTTTGCCCTTGAAAGTCCTTGAGTCTGTCTCAGGCCTTTGCCAGACCCTCTCTGGGTGCTCAGTTCTCTCTCTCTCTCTCTCTCTCTCTCTCTCTCTCTCTCTCGGACAGGGGTGGGGGCCAAGCAAGGAGATGGGGTCCAGAGCCCGAGGATCTGCTGGTTTGGGGCCTGAGCTCCTGGATCAGCCTCTTCTGAACGGAATCATCCTGCGACTGGCTTCCTCGTCTGGTATTTCCAGAGCTCTCACTGGCTTCTTCAAGGCCACATGCCATTTCAGGATGTGGCTGTCGACATTCTCCTTGGTTGTTCCTCAGGGGTCACCACCATCCCCGATCCCTGTGGAAGTCCCCTGGTGTGATGACACTGCCTCTCCAAGAAGCGGCATGGCTGGCTCAGAAGTTACCCTCCAAAACCACAATCTCAGTTTACACTCCCATCAGCAGTAGAGGAGACTATTCAGTTAGTTCCCCAAACTCACCAACGCCTGATACCAAGTTTTGACATTTCTGCCCAACTCACTGGGTAAACGGGTGTGTCACTGAGGTGCTCATTTGCATTAGCCTAACACGTGGGTTTGAGCGGTCTTAAAACCTTCGGACCAGAACACAGACACCCTAAGAGCAGGGACTGCACTTACTCATCCCTTCTGAGTGCAGCCCCACAACAGCTCTGGATGCAAACGAGGTGTTCGGCCCGTGGGTCCCCCAAGGGCTGTGGCGAGGGGCAAGGCTTTTCCCTTTACTCCCAGCACTAACAGCCCTAGGTAAACAGTAGGAACTAAACACATGTTGAAATGATTGAAGTGATGGTGCCACGTGAGTTCATAGGACGAGATAAGACGTCCATTCACTTCTTCGTTCCAGCTCTCCCTCCTCGTGTCCCTGTCTTGCCTGTCAGAGTCTATGAGGCCCCGGGCACTAATTTTCTGACAGAAAAGGCAGGTGGCTTCATCCTCAGACTTTTAGCTTGAAGAGTATCCCAGAAGCCTCTCTGGAAGCTTCCTAGTTATCTGCAAAGCCACACACAAGTCCTCAGGTCTCGGCAAGCCCTGTGCCCCTTCGTCCTATCCCCAAAGCTCTCCTGAGAAACGCCCTCTGTCCATCTGGGAGTGGCCTGAGCCAGACGGGGCTCTGGGCAACAGGCTTGGCTGACCAGCAGCTTTTAATTTCACAGCTCAAAACAAGGAGGCATCATCTCACACCTGTCAGAATGGCCGCCATCAACAAATCATCAAACAACAAGTGTTGGCGAGGGTGTGGAGAAAAGGGGACTCTAGTACACTGCTGGTGGGAATGCAGACTGGTGCAGCCACTATGGAAAACCATATGGTGTTTCCTCAAAACGTTAAAAATTGAGTTGCCATTTGACCCAGTGATCCCACTACTAGGAATATACCCTAAGAAGCCTGAAACACCAATCAGAAAGAATTTATGTACCCCTACGTTCATAGCAGCACTATTTATAATTGCTAAGATCTGGAAACAGCCCAAGTGTCCATCAATAGATGAGTGGATAAAAAAGCTGTGGTACATATACACAATGGAGTACTATGCAGGTGTAAGAAAGATCTCTTATCCTTTGAGACGACATGGAGGGACCTGGAGAGTATTATCCTAAGCGAAACAAGCCAATCAGAGAAACACAAATATCACATGATATCACTTATTTGTGGAATATAACAAAAAAAACTGATGAACAAAACAGACCCAGAGACATAGAAGTGGGGTACAGACTGACAAAGCTCAGAAAAGGGGGTCGGTGGGGAGGGAAGAGATAAACCACAGAACCTACATGCATGTATGCGTAACTATGAACATAGACAACAAAGCTGAGGACGGGGCAGGGTGGGGGGAGAGAGAGGAGGGTGTCAATGGGGGGAAAGGAGAAACATCTGGAACAAAAATAAATTAATAAAAATAAATAAATAATAATTTTACAGTTCGCTGTGCCCAGAGCCCAGCAATGACAGCTGTCACTCAGTGGCACTGAGAAAGGCTAGAAGTCACTTCTTCCCCAGCCCCATAATCCACCTGCACAGCCTAGGGCTCTGGGCAGGTTTTGTGCACATGTGTGTGTTTATACAACACTTTTATTTTGATATAATTCAGATACCACACAATTCACCCATTTAAAACAGAGATTCACCGAGGTGTGCTATGTCACCACAGTGTTAGAACATGTCACCCCAAAAAGAAACCTGCACCCACAGCAGTTCCTCTCTGGGCTGCTGCGGACAGAGACAGGCTTGCAGGGCTGGTGAGCTTTCCGTGAGCAGACAGTGCATGCTCCAGGAAGAGGGGTGCATTCCCGCCAGAACGTAGGGACAGCAAGTCCCGGTATTGTGGGCTGTGCCCAGGAAGACCATGACCTCCCTCCAGCACACCCTGGCCACCTTTGCACGCGTGCACAAGAGAGGTGCGCCCGCCATTACTCATCTAGGGGCCTCTCTGGCCTTGAGCTCCGGCGATCTGGGCAGGGGCACATGGCTTCTACACTGAGGATCCCTCCCCGGCGACCCGCCACTAAGCCTTCGAGCAGTGGTTCTCCACCTTCCTGATGCCGCCGCGGCCCTTCAATATAGGTCCTCATGTTGTGGCGACCCCCAGCCATAAAATCATTTTCGTTGCGACTTCATAACTGTAATTTTGCTACTGTTATGTCTTAGGTGACCCCTGTGAAAGGGTCGTTTGACCCCCAAAGGGGTCGCGACCCACAGGTTGAGAACCGCTGCCTTAAAGCTTATTGGCGCCAGGTGCCCGTGGGCTAGCTAGCCAGAAAAAGGAGTATGAGCCCCGATTCATTATTTGTTCTGGCCCAGAACTAACTGTAGGAGACATCTGTGGTTTTGCCTGTCTGTCAATCACACCCATTCTGGTTCCAGGCCTCAGCTCTCTTTCTGGGAACCAGCTCACCCCCACACCCAAACTGGATGGTTGGGTGGAGCTGAGGAATATAATTGGGCACATGACCCAGAGCCAGCCAATCAGAGTTCTGCATCCTTCCAGCTACAGGGATTGGCTCAGGGATGAGCATGTGACCCAAGCCTAGCCAATCAGAAGAATTCTGTCTCAAAATTACAGCTAGATTTGTGAAGGAAAGAAACTCTGGGACTGCTGATCTCATAGGATGCTGACCTGGGCTGCTGGGAGCCAGAGCAGGCGACAACAGAATAAGGAGAAGGAGGGAGGACTGTTAACAATGGGCCCTTTTTACCTCCTTGAACTATTTATACGCTCCCATAAATTCCCTTCATATTTATTCCTATCAGGTGGTTTTCCATCATTTGCAATATTTGCAAGAGAAGTTGACTTGCTTATTGCACTGACTGAGCTAATGAGCTACTTCTCACATGGGAGGCATCAGACACAAAGCAAGGGTAGCTCCATCCCAGGATGGAGGTGTCCCCCAGCTCCCCCACCTCTCTAGGCCTGCTTCCCTGACTACACCCCTAATTCAAGTCTCAAGTGCAACAGGAAACAGGATGAAAGACTCAGTCAGGCCAAAACTGGGCACCAAGCCTCCAGGAAGCCCATATGGCTCAGCTGCACCTGTCCTTGGAACACTGGTACGGCCCCGAGGACCCCGCCTCATTGCAGAGCTTGGGCTGAATTCATTTCTACGAAGACCATGAGGCATTTACTGGGTAGCACCCTGAGCTCCTGAGCTGGCCCGGGACACTTTAGAGATGAGAAAGGCAGAGTTCATCTCTCCCTCCTCACTGTGCTCCCTTGGCTACTGGTTTCTTAGCGATTCCCTGGTAGGGGCCAAGTGGCAGAGTGGACCCACACACAAAGCTTTGCATGACAAGCTCAGAGACAACACTTTCTGCTGTGCCTTTAGAACACAAACTCCAGAAAAGCCCTGGAAAAACCCAGGAAAAGCCCCAGCTAAAGTGTTAGGCAAACAAGGCTTGGCTTTGGAACCCCACTTCCTTTGCCCCCTCTCATTTTCCTGGTGTGTCCTGCACTTGCAGGAACCTCACTCAGTCCTGCTCCCGTCTCTCTAGTCACTCCCGTCCACAGCTTACCATATGGAAAAGAGCTGCTAAAGTGTTAGTGGCCATTAGAGACACAGCATGCCCCGAACACTCGTACTACGCGACCCTCAGGAGGCTGAGACTCTATGACCGACAGCAAATCCACAGCACAGGAAGAGAATTATAGCCCGGAAGCCCTGGGCCCATTCCCGCTATCTGCTACCCTGGCTCCCCTCCAACCACACCCAAAAGCAGAAAAATGCTATTCACTAGAATTAAGGAAAACTATGAATGTTATTTATTGGTTACGATGTTCTAATTCAGTGTTTCCCAAAGCACGGGGCGGTATCACCGAGTTTCAGATGTACTCGAGTGCAACACTAGATGATCCTGAAGTCTCCCTTCCGCCCTCTCTCCACTCTCCTGCTTAAGTCAAGGAGAGGGTCTCGGTGGCCACTGGTGAATCTTCCACGCCTTCGAGATCGGTCTGTCTCCCTTTCTCCACATACATAAGAGAGGCGGCAGGCCGAGGCCCAGGGCCTTCAATAAATTAGACAATGAAAATAAAAAGATATTTTTATACTACTTCCTCTTTCCTGCAATTGACGCTGGTTTTCCATGGAAGATGGTGAAATCAAGTTTCCTTTTAAAATAAATATTTAAGTTAAAAAAAAAAAAAAGGACACAGTTCGTTTAGAATGTTGGAAAACAGCCCTGGCCAGTGTGGCTCAGTTCGTTGAGTGTCGCCCTGTGCACCAAAAGGTTGAGGGTTCAATTCCCAGTCAGGGCACATACCCAGGTTACAGGTTTGATCCTCAGTTGGGGTGCACAGAGGAGGCAGCAGATCACTATTTCTCTCTCGCTCTCAAATCAATAAAAAATAATAAAAATAGCCCTGGCCGGTTTGGCTCAGCGGTTAGAGCGTCGGCCTGCGGTCCGGAGAGACCCGGGTTCGGTTCCCGCTAAGGGCACGTACTTCGGTTGCAGTTTGTCCCCGGCCCTGGTTGGTCGTGCGGGTGGCAGCCACTCGATGTGTCCCTTCACGTCGATGTTTCTCTCTCTCTCTCTCTCCCTCCCACTCTATCTGTACAAAAAATGGAAAAATATCCTCGGGTGAGGATAAAAAAAAAAAAAAAATAATAATAATAATAATAAAAATAAAATGCGGGAAAAAGATCATCCAGGTGATACAAGGACGTGACAAAATGGGGGGATGGGACAGGAATGAGTGCAGTTTGAGAAACACTGATCTTTTCTGAAAGGCTACACGCTACAGAGCTGCGTACCTAAGAACCCCGCCCCCCTGGTCCTTACCTCTTGGCCTACGTTCAGGGTAAGGCCCGGCAGAGCGGGGATCTGCCCTAAGAGACCACTGGGCAGAAAAGTGAGAAGGTGGCGAATTATTTGGGGGTTTGGCAGATGCCCCAAATTAAGTACATTCTCCTGGTTGTTCCTTACTAGCCCCCAGAAGGGAGGAAGGGGAAAGGGTTTGGGGAGTTGTTACTTCTTGTTTCGGGAAAGGACAGGGACAACAATGGTGTGCAGAGGTTCAAACGGCCACCCCCAAAAAGGCATCCAAACTGTGGAAAATGGGTCCTGCAGGTGGCAAGCCATGGAGCTTAACTGAGTCCTGGGACTCTCATCTCCCTGGGGGGACCATCACTCTTGTCACCAGAATCGACTCATCCTTCTAGTGCCCTATCCCAATTTTCCTCTGGGGAACCGGTCTCCTCCTGACACTCAGCTTGCGGTTTCCAATGACAGCCATAGGAGTGGGCAGGACTCAAGCCCAGACAATCACAGCAGTGCATTCTCTGGCCACCGTGACTGGTTCAGAGATGGGCACATGATCCACTGAACACCAGCAGGTCCCAGGGAGACTCTTGCAAGAGAGGAAGGTACCCTATTTTGCTGGGAATGCTAGAAATAAAGGGGTGAGCTTGGACCTGCTGGCTGTCCCTACACGGAACCGGAGAAGAGACAACACAGTAGGAGACAGAGGTGAGCAACTGGGTCCTAATGACATTGTCTGAGCACCTGGATTAAGCTCTACCTGAAGTTGGTCCCAAAGGACCTGTTTCTTTATATGAAAAAACACATTTCCTGTTATGTTGAGCCCATCTGAGTTCAGGTTTCTTGTAAACAAGAGACTGACCACAGCAAGTGACACTGCTATAGTAGCAGACACGGTTTTCCTCCTCCTTTGGTCTAAAGCGTCATGGACCCCTCAAGGAGGAAGAGAATGCAGGCTGCGGGTGACAGCCCTCACCTGCCTCCCCTCCATGACAGAGTTCCCTTCGGCTGCCCCTTTGCCCTCCACAAAGCCGGGCCCTCAATTACCTCGAGCCATTGCTGATGAGAATGCTCTCCCGAATCGTCAGGGTGCAATAGTACCACACCAGCAGAAAGTTAAAGATTTCGTCTGTTACCCTGGTGGGGAGAAACAGCCCCCGGAGGGGAGCAGGCATGAGAACCGGGGACGGACGGCAGGTTCTTCGTAAGGAGGTCACGAGAGAGCCCTGGCCAGTCTGGCTCAGCGTTAGAGCATTGGCCCTAGGACAGAAGGGTCTCAAGTTCAATTCCTGGTCAAGGGCATGTACATGGGTTACAGATTCGACCCCCACCCCTGGCTGGGGTCATGCAGGAGGCAACCAATTGGTGTTCTCTCTCACATAGATGTTTCTCTCTCTCTCTCTCTCTCTCTCTCTCTCTCTCTCTCTCTCTCTCTGTCTCTCTCTCATCCTCCCTTCCACTCTATCTAAAAAATCAATGGAAAAATATCCTAGGGTAAGGATTAGCAACAACAACAAAAGTGGTTGAGCATCAACCCATGTACCAAGAAGTCTCCGGTTCGATTCCCGGTCAGGGCACATGCCCAGGTTGTGGGCCTGATCCCCAGTGGGGGGCATGCAGGAGGCGGCCAATCGATGTTCTCTCTCATCCATGTTTCTCTCTCTCTCCCCCTTTCCTTTCCTCTCTCTCTAAAATCAATAAAGAAAAAAAATTGAAAAAAAAGAAAACGAAGGTCATGAGAGAGAGACAGGGAAACACAGGGAAGGCGTCCATGTGACAAGACGGAGGCCCAGGAGGCAGAGGCTGCAGCGAAGCAGCCCCAGGGCACAGACACCAAGAGCGGCCGCACCACCCGGTGCTGGAAGAGGCGAGGAAGAACCAGCAGGGGAGCCCAGCCCTGCTGACACCTGGGTTTCAGACTTCTGGCCTCCAGACCCTGACAAACTCCGTGTCTGTTGTTTTATGGCACTCAGCTCATGGTGCTTTGTCATGACACCCCGCGGAAACAAAGACAGAAAGGGTGGGAGCAGGAAACATCCAGCCCTCGGTGACCCTTAGAACTGGACAACACACCGCATGACTGCCCTGAGAGGGCCCTCTGGGGCAATCTGGTTGCACAGGAATCTGGTTGCTCATTAAGAACTTCCAGCCCCTTCCAGAGAGGTGTGTGAGTTGGCATTACTGTTGGGTGCACTCTTTGCCCTCCAGGGAAACGGGCCAGGCCCGAGGCAGCAGGCGGGCACGGGCCCAGGGTCTAAAAGAGCCTTTGTTTGGACATTCAAGTGACCAGACCAGCTAGTGGACTCCCAGCCAAGCACCTGCTAGGAAATAAACCCTTCACATGTGGGCCAAATGCCCAAGCTGTGCTTGGCCACCTCCCCTGTGGCAGAACACCCAGGGCCACACGCAGAAACAGGCTCCCCGGGCCTCGTCCACTCAGACAGCAACAGCAGAGGTTCTCAGTGCACGTCTGGGCGCCACACACCGGGCAGAGCCCTCCACGTAGTGTTAATGCGCTGATCAGTCACAAGCCTTCGAGGGAGGCAGTGGTGCACCCTCAGTTTACAGACAGGGAGACAGAGTTTCCCGGAGGGAACCTGCCCGTGGTAACAGCCAGTTAGTCTCAAAGCCCAGGCCATCTGTGATCCATCCCTCTTTGTCTTTCTTTCCCTTTTTTTCTGTTCCCTTTCTCCCTCTCTCCTTCCCTCTCTTTCTTTTTGCAATTGAGATATAATGCACATACCATAAAACTCACCCTTTTATTTATTAAAAAATTTTTTTTTTCTTCATTGATTTTGGAGAGAGAGGAAGGGAGAGAGGTAGAAACATGGATGAGAGAGAACATCGATTGGCCGCCTCCTGCACACCCCCCACTGGGGATCGGCTCACAACCTGGACATGTGCCCTGACCGGGAATCGAACCGGCAACCTCTTGGTGCATGGGTCAACGCTCAACCACTGAGCCACACCAGCTGGGCAAAAAACTCACCCTTTTCAAGTATACATTTGGTGGATTTTCATTTAGTCACAAAGGTGTGCACCCATCACTACTGCCTAATTCCAGAACACCCTCGTCACTCCAGAAGACACCCTAGACCCATTAGCAGCCCCTCCCCACCGCCCCTCCCCTCGGCCCCTGCAACCACTAATCCACATTCAGTCTGTATGGATTCGCCTATTCTCAACATTTCACAAAAACAGAATCATACAATATGGAGCCTTTGATAATCAGCTTCTTTCACTTAACACACAGGGTGGGGCAAAAGTAGGCCCACAGTTGTTTGATGGAGAATAGTACAGTAATCAAGAAATAATAACACAGGAATGAACGCTGTCCCACATGCTCACAACTGCAGACCTACTTTTGCCTCACCCTGTAATGCTCTCAGGATCCATCTGCGTTGTCAGCACTTCATTTGTTTTTGCGGCCAGATACTATTCCGTTGTAAGGCTATGCCAAACTGGGCTCCTTATTTACAACAGTCTAAGGCCTCTCCACAGCCCGCTAGTAGATAGTAGTTGGCTGGATGTGTGGTGGACAGGGCTGCTGTTTTTCATGAGAAGTGGGCCCTCTCCATCTCCACTTGATCAGCCCAAACACTGCAGATGCAGAAGGGACCCTGGAGCCCTCTCTCGCGGCCCCCTCCGCCCCCAGCATGCCCCACACACCACCACGCTGCGTTACCTGTAGTGAAGGACAAACTGACAGGCCACGGCACCTAGGAGGAGGATGATGGTCAGGTAGAGCTTGAACTTCTCATACTCGTCCTTGTAGGCAAATCTACGGCAACAGACAGGCCCAGGAAAGGTCAGGGGAAGGTCACGGAGCGACTACTACATTTATAGTATACGCCCTCTGGGGGCGGGGCCCTTGCCCCATCAGATCCTTGACCTATTGCCGCTCCATCCCACAAGGACTTTCTGGTCCCACTAAAGAGACTTGACCTTGAGTGAACGGTGCCGATCAACTAGGGAAGGAGGACTGAAGTGCAAAACTCCCCATGTTCCCGGACTCCCGCTTCAGGTCCCCGGGAGTGACAGGGAAGGGCAGGGAGCAGAGACAGGGCCCCTCCCCCAGCCAGCTCCTGCAGTGGAAACACCACGGCTCCATCTCCCTAGAAACCGATAGGTCTTGGGTGGTCACAAGTCTGCGTCCTGGAGAAGTGTATGACAAGGTGTGGAATGGAGCAGAGCCACTGCCCACGGGAAACTGGCCGGCCTGTCCATTCAACACATGGGCTTCATGACGGACAGAAGGAAACCGTTCCCGGGGGTTAACCCGCCAAGGCGGAGACCAAGAGCCAGAGCGCCAACTGGTAATGTGTCTTCATTTATGCGAAAATTCCAGCTGGGTCCCATCTCTCCTGAGCTGAAAGGGCAAACCTCCCGGGTTCCATGAAGCCAGGTGGGGGTGGGGACACTTACTTGGCCTGGTTGCTGAGAAGGGTCACGTTTACATTGCCGAGGACCAGATTCAAGTAGAGCCTGGAAGGAAAGACCTGTGAGGCCACCGTGTCCCTAAGAGCCCCAGGAGCAGCCACAGCCAAAAACATCCAAACGTCATGGGCACACACTGAACAGGAAGACTGTGACATGTGACAGTCATGACTGACTCATCTCCCCCATTTAGCTTGCTTAGAGACCATATTTCCCAGCCTCCCTTGCAACGAATGAAAATGTGACTGAGCTCTAGCCAATGAGGTGAAGGTATATGTACAACATTTAGGTCAATTTAAAGCAGGCTGTTTTTAAAATTAAGGCATAGCTCAGCCGGTGTGGCTCAGTGGCTGAGTGTCAACCCATGCATCAAGAGGTCACTGGTTTGATTCCTGGTCAGGGCACATGCCCAGGTTGTGGGCCCGATCTCCAGTGGGGAGTATGCAGGAGGCAGCCAGTCAATGTTCTCTCTCATTGATATTTCTATCTCTCTCTCTAAAATCAATACAGAAAAATAAAATTTTTTAATTAAGGCATAACCTTCAAAAGTACACAAGTCTTGCCTTGGCTAAGTAGCTCAATTACTTAGAGTGTCAACCCAATACGCCAAGGTTGCAGACTTGATCCCTGGTCAGGACACATACAAGAATCAACCAATAAATGCATCAGTAAATGGAACAACAAACTGATGTTTCTCTGCCTCCCTCCCTTTCTGAAAATCAATAAAAAACAAAAAGTGCAAAAGTCTTAAGTATACAACATGATGAATTTTTACACATCCACGCAACCAACAGCCAGATCAAAGAATAAAACACGTCCAGCCCCAGGAGGCTCCCTCCCACTCCGCCCAGTCAGATCCCTACCGACAAACAGGAGTCGCTGCTGAGCTCGTGGAGGAGCATGCAGGAGGCCTGCTCCCCTTTCCTGCCTCCCCCCACCCTCAAGCCTCAGTGGGAAGCTGGCAGACCAAGTGTCCCAGGCCTGGGCATCTGCCCGAAGCAGGGGGTGGGGTGTGGGGCATCTGTGTAAGTTCCCAGCTCCTACCCATTCTTCTTGGGCAGGTAGGCCTCCATGTCAAAGAAGATGTTCTTCCGCTCTTTGATGTTGATGTCTATCTGCTGAACCAGCTCTGCCTCCTCCTGATTGGCGTGGCGCTTGTGCCTGTGGTCAGAGGTGTGGGCGCAGAAGCAGGGGCGTTACTCAGACTGGAGTAAGAACCTGGAAGTTCTGGGCATTGTCCTCCCATTCTCCCACCTCAGTGCTTCTCGAAACCTCGGTCCTCCGCCTGTCCTCTCTGGGCTTGATGCTGGCTCCCTGCTAGCCTTGTAACCTGGGGGATGCCCTTTAACCTCTCTGCTTCTTTTCCATATCTAAAAAGCAGGAATAACATCAAGCCTATCTCCTGGACAATACCACTGTGACAAGTAAGTAAATGCAATTTAAAGTATTTAAAATGGCCCTGACCGGTTGCTCAATGGTTAGAGCATCAGCCCACAGAACAAAGGGTCACAGGTTTGGTTCCTGGTCAAGGGCGCGTCCTGGGTTGCAGATTTGATCCCCAGTCCCAGTCAGGGTCATGTGGGAGGCAGCTGATCAATGTGTCTCTCTCACATCGATGTTTCTCTCTCTCCCGCCCTCACTTTCTTCCACTCTAATGAAAAATCAATGAAGCCCCGGCCGGTTTGGCTCAGTGTTAGAGCGTCAGCACACAGACCAATGAATCGTGAGTTTGATTCCATACCTCAGTTGTTCATCCCCAGCTCTGATCAGGTCATGCGGGAGGTAATCAGTCAATGTGGCTCTGTCACATCAATGTTTCTCTCTCTCTCTCTCCCTCCCTCCCTCTGACTCTATCTGATGTTAAATGAAAAAGTTTCCTCGGGTGAGGAATTAAAGAAAGTATAAGCAGTCAGGGGGCCAGGCAGAGGTGGGCAAAGGGGGAGGTGTTTGAATGGGGACATCTGTAATAGTGTCAACAATAAAAATAAAGTAAAAAAACAAACAAACAATAAACATAAGCAGTCAACTAATCAAGGTCTAACTGTTATTCTTTGATGATATTTAACTCTCAAAACTAGAAAAACAAGTCATAGACACTCTTGGAGTTAAGGGTTGTCTTCAGTGTAAGAACCAAACTCATGGGTCAACCTTCTAACCCAGTGGTTCTCAACTGGGGATACTTGGCGATGTCTGGGAACTTTTTGGTTGTCAAGACAGAGTGAGGGATTTTACCGGCATCTAGCGGGTAGAGGCCAGCAAAGTTGCTAGACATTCTACAATGCACAGGACAGCCCCCAACAGCAAAGACTTGTCATTAATGTCAAGGTTGAAAAGGCCTAGACAGATAAAAGACTCTTGCCATCAGTAAGATGTGTTTTTCTAAGAGTGGTGATGTCACTGCATAGAACCATCTACACTTTACCCCATGATTAATGAGCCTCCATTTACAATGTGGTCAGCTAAGGTTAGGGGTATAACCAACAACCTTCCCAAAAACTGTCCACAAGAAAAGGGAAAAACTGACCAGGAGCCACACACTCTGGAATAGAAAGAAGCCCAGGTAAGTGACCTGGGACAAGCCACTCAGAGCCTCAGTTTCCCTGCCTGACTGCAGGATGACAGCACCCACCGGACCCCTTCACCTATGGGGGATGAGAGCACTTCCGAAACCATGACGACACAAGGACTGGAACATGTGATCCTGGCCTCAGGAACGGAACTAAGTTATGAGCTCAAGTTTGTCTCCAGGGATACCAGAGCGCCTGGTGGGGTGAGCCCCCACACCTATGAGAAGGATACTATTTACCTGCCCAGCAGGACTGCTTGTCACAGCTTTCTTCTGGGGAACTACCTCTCACCCTCTCCCCCCCTCCACATGGTTTAAGTAGGGCCGTCCCATTCCCAAGGTCCATAAACTGAACATATGAACTCATCTTGCCTACCAATCTGTGATTGGTTCACAGATGGGCACATGACCAATTCCAGCCAATGAGCATCACACCCAGGATTTTTGCTGAAAGACAAGTTCTCATTGGGCTGGGGTGGCCAAGCCAGTAGGAAGAAAGGCTGGAGGATATAACCTGGTACTGCTGGTGGCCATCTCGGTGGCCATCTCGGTGACCACGAGAGGATGGTCAGCCATAGAGTGAAGCCAATCTAGAGGAATGCAGAAGTTAGAGGAAAAAAACAGATTCCTAAAAACATCCTTTGACCCTTAGATCCAGTGATGCCTGAAGCCACTCCTGGTTTTTTTCCATTAACATTTCCATCCTCTGCTCACTCCAGTTTGAGCTGGTGTGTGACCCTCAGAACCAGGGCAGCTTGGAGCTGCGGCCGCCTACCTCTGCAGTGTGTGCTTCAGGTCCTTCAGTCGCGTCTTGTGCTTGTTGATGGAGCTGCTACACAGAGTCTGGAGCGCGGTCAGCTCCTCCAGCTTCTGCCTGTAGATCCTGTGAGTCTCCTGAGAGGGAACAGCCCAGGCAGGGTGTATGAGAGAACGTGAACACGTCATTTTTCACAGTTTGCTTGTGTCATGGGACATGACTACAGAGCTCGGACTTTCACAGCTAAACCGATACAGTTACAACTGTCACATTTGTGGCTTAGAAAACTGGGGCTGGAATTGGGGAAGGCAGCATAGCACAGCCCTTGTGTAATAAGGAAATAACTGTTTTCCTTCCTGCCCAGGCTCCATCCTTCCTAATGGTAACAGCAACCAAATATGACTTTGAGGGGCCACCTCTTGTCAATTCTTAGTCCAGATGGTTGGAGTAGAGCTGACAGTCCTCATGCCAAGAGTGGTCATGTGACCCAGGCACAGCCAATCAGTATCTTCCAACCCTCTGGCAACTGATTGGTTCAGACATGGACACATGGCTTAAGTGGGCCAAGGAGAGTCAGCTCTGCGACGGGACTGGGAATATTGGCTCGAAGATGCCCTCTTTCTCCTGGGTTTGCCAATCTGGTAGCAGGTACATGTGGGGCTGCTGAGTGAGGAGAACCAGCCTAAGAATGAAGCCAAACAGGAAAACAGAACTGAGATGTGGTAAGAGACAGAATTCTCATAGTCTCATTTCAGTCCCTGGAACGAACCAAGTCTGAATGTAATACTGTCCCATACCCTTGGTTATACGAATTCATAAATTCCTTTTCACGGAGGCCAGTTGGAGTTGGGTTTTCTGATCCTGGCAATGAAGAGAGCTCTTACCATGTCAACTAAGACGCGGTCCTATCTCTTCCCGTACAGCCAAACCCTCCCTACCCCAGGCAGAGTCACAACAATCTCATTCCTGGAAATAACCTTTCAGGGCCACAGGCCATGGGAAACACCAGAGACGTTGCCCCAAAGCTGGGAGAAGGGGACGCAGAAACTTCTCGACACCACTGCCTTGCGCATCTCCCCCCAACAGTGCTATGTACCAGGAAACATGCCCTTCCCTCTAAATTTGACCAACAATTTGGAGAAACCCATGTGACGGGCATAAACCATGAAGTTAAATACAATAATCCGCCCTGGCCGGCTTGGCTCAGCAGTTAGAGCGTCGGCCTTCGGTCCAGAGAGACCCGGGTTCGGTTCCCACTAAGGGCATGTACCTCGGTTGCAGTTTGTCCCCGGCCCTGGTTGGGTTGTGCAGGTGGCAACCACTTGATGTGTCCCTTTCACGTCGATGTTTCTCTCTCTCTCTTCCTCTCTCTCCCTCCCGCTCTATCTGAGCAAAAAATGGAAAAATGTCCTTGGGGTGAGGATAAAAAAAATAAATACAATAATCCAATGAATACATTTAAAGTGGCTGTTTTCTTGGCTGGTGAAGAAATGTATTTAGCAGAGGGAGAGAAGGAGATGTCCAACAGTGAGGCCAGAGCCGACGCTTTCATGCCTGCCAAGCGTGGTCCCTAAACATGAGGATAAGCCAGAAGATGAGGGAGAAGTGAAGAAAATGAAGTGAATAGATAATAATTAAGGCAACACTGCAACACGTTGTGAGCAAGTCTCCCTTGGCTCCCAAATGACAGGGCTCAGTCCCTCATATTCAAACAATATCATCTGTCACTCCTTCTGGGCCCCCGAGAGGAAAACTCAATCTCTATTTTATTTAACTCGTAAACAATTTCAAACTTGCAGAAGAATTGTAAGAAGAACACAAAGCACTCCCCTCCTATCCTTCACCCCGATTCACCAACTGTTAGCATTATGCCATATTTGCTCTAGCCTCACCCCACTGTGCGTGTGTGCACGTGTGCGTGTGTGCATTCTTTTTCTGTATCAGGCATCAGGAATTTATATCCCACAGGCCAAATCCAGCCACATGACTCTGTATGGGCAGTAAGCTAAAAATGTTTTTCCTTGGTTGAAAAAGAATCAAAAGAATATTTCCTGACACGTGAAAGTATATGAAATTGAAATTTCAGTGCCTATAAATAAGCCGTACTGGAGCACAGCCACGCCCGTTCATTTACATATTGCCTGTGGCCTCTCTGGCACTGCAACAGCAGAGTGAGTAGTTGTGACAGGGACCATATGGGCCGCAAAGCCTAGAATCCTCGCTACTTGGCGTTTGTGCCAAAAAAAGTTTGCCTACTCCTTTTCTAAACCATTTGGGAGTCAGCTAGAGACAACATGCTTCTTTACACCTCCATACTTCATTGTGTATTTCCTACAAAAATGACACCCTCTTATATATCCAGAGTCCAGTGATCAAATACAGAAAATGTAACCTTGACAGGACACAACACCGTGACTTAAAATAACACCCAAGTTCAAATCTTGCAGGCTGTCGGTTGACAGCCACTCCCCCCAGACCCTGCTCCCGATTCGGGCTCCTGCCTCCCTCGTGTTGCTGCTTGTATCTCTTCAGCCTCCTTTCGTCCAGAAGAGCTGCTCGACTTTCTCTTTCACGACATGGACATTTTTAAGGCACTCTGTCTAGTTCTGGCGGATGTCCCTCCATCTGGGTTCGTCTGCTGTTTCTTCATGACTGGATTTTGGTTATGCTTTTGGGGCAAGAATGCCACTGAAGTGACACTGTGTCCTCCATGTCTCCCATCAGGAGGGACACGGTGTCTGGGACGTTAGTGTTAATTGCTTAGAAAAGGCGGAGCCCACCCACCTTCCCCACTGTACAGTGACCAGCTTTCTATCTGTAATTAACGATTAGTAAACTGTGGAGAGAAAGGCTGCGTTTTAATCACTTTTAAATTCTTTTTTAATTAAAAAAAATTTTTTTTCCCTTTATTGATTTTAGAGTAAGAGGGAGAGAGAGACAGAAACATCGATGAGAGAGAACATTGACTGGCCGCCTCCTGCATGCCCCCCACTGGGGATCAGGCCCACAACCTGGGCATGTGTCCTGACCAGGAATCAAACCAGCGACCTCCTGGTGCATGGGTCGATGCTCAACCACTGAGCCACACCAGTTGGACCACTTTTGAATTCTTCAGTGCCAAAGTAGCCATTTACTTTTAACCAAAAAAACCCTCCAGACAGGAACGGGGAGGACAAGGCCAGAGAGACCCTGACTAGACTACAGTCTTCAAGGAGGTGGAGTGTTTGCACTAGTGTCCTGGCAACACCAGCTGAGGCTCCTGGGAGATAAAGAGGCGTGTGACTTCCCAGCACTCTCTGGGGTTGGGCGCCACCGCGAGGAGATGGACCAGGACGGCGACGTCAGCAGCCAGATGCTTACCAGGCCCTCTTCGGTTTGAATCAATATTTAATCTCGAAGTAAAATGTAAAGACATCATCCTTATTAAAAATTAAAACACTATGGCCCTGGCTGCTTTTGCTCAGCAGTTAAAGTGTTGGCCCACAGGCCAAAGAGTCGCGGGTTCGATTCCGATCAAGGGCACGTACTTCAGTTGCGGTTTGGTCCCCGGCCCTGCTTGGGGTCACGTAGGAAGCACCCAATCGATGTGTCTCTCTCACATCAACGTTTCTCTCTCTCCCCCTCCCACTCTATCTGAAGATAAATAGAAAAATATCCTTGGGTGAGGATTTTTAAAAAAATAATTAAAAAACCACAGCTACAGTTGGAATCAGCTTTAAACACATCCCTATCCTTCTCCCCCATCCCCAGAAGTAACCAGTTACCAGTTTCTTCTAGACCTTTTCCTATGTATTCTTCCTGACTGTCTTCTATGTATCTATGTATTTCTATATTGTATGTACACCTATTTCTACATATACACATAAATATAAAGACATAGATAGATAGATATACAAAAAAATACACTGTTGCAAAAACTAATTGTCCCTAATATTTAGTCTCCTTTGCTTCATTTTAGCAACCAGACCCCACAGAGTTACAGCTTGATATATGGCCTATAGACTATATTTCCCAGCCTCCCTTGCAGCTAGAGGTAGCAGTAGGACTAAAAGTTAGCTAATGAAATATAAGAAGAAGTGATGTGTGTAAGTTCTGAACCACATTTTTATAAGAAGCCACTTGGACGCCACTCTCCCTTTCTCTGGCTGGCATATGGCAACAACGGGTCCAGTTACACTGAAACCAGAGATGAAAGCTACATGAAACAAATGGCAAAGCCCATTGTCCTTCCCCCAGCCAAACCAATCGGGATCCCAGGTGACCTCATATGACAGAGTTTCCAACCTGCGATGGTTTAAAAACACGACTGCCCAACCGTTAGCACTCCTCACATAGAGGGGCAGAATCTCTGTCCCCTCCCCTTAAATATAGGTAGGCTTGTGGCTGGTTTGACTCTCCCCGTCCCCTTAAAATGACAAAAGTGACACTATAATTTCTGAGAACAAGTCGTGGAAGGTCACATGGCTTCCACCTTATTTGCTGAAACACTCACTCTTGGAGCAAAAAGTTCAACTACCCTGACGCCACCATGCTGTATGGAAACCCTGGTCCCATGGAGAAGTCACAGGTAGACACTCTAATCAACAGTTCTAACTGGAATGACAAATCTTCATGTCATTCCAACTCAGGCACCAGAGGGATAAAGAAACCTCCAGACGATGTCAGCCCTAGCATGTGAGTAACGACTAGTATTCAAGTCTTCCCGGCTAAGGCCTCTGGCACCACAGAGCCCAGTCAAGCTATCCAGACTATGCCCTGTCTAAATGCCTGACTCACAGGATCCATGAGCAAAAAGCAATTATTACTGTTTTATGCAGCAACAGGTAACTGCAATACCACTCACCCTGGGCCAGGTCTCCCTCTGGACTGTCACGGGAGAAAAAAAAGAAGATACAGCATTATAGCCTTTTTATTTGGGGATCTCTCTGTTATAACAGCATAGCTTATACACTAAAGCACATACTTTTGATTTTTAAAAGTTATATTAACAGTATCAGAATATACATATCATTCCACAATTTTCTTTTCTTACTCAATAACATGCCTTGGAAATCTACCCATGTAAGAATACATTTAGTTCATTCTTTTTTTTTTTTTATCATCCTCACCCGAGGACATTTTTCCATTTTTTGTTCAG